CCCCCCCCCCCCCGGCGCACTTTTGGAACACCCTGTATGTACTCCGTTTAGTGGGGTGGCGTGCTTTGCGAGATATCGATTGATTTAACCTATGCAAAAAGATCGATGGATAGAGTGATCGCAACGATCGCCTTAACTATCGATTCTTTACAATAGCTCCTAACGGGGAAATATCGATATTCGATCACTCTCGCAATTACGCCTTGGCACTGACCACACTGACTCCGTTTCGCACCGGCTCACGGTGGATCGAGTCAATGGTTGAGGTCGGTCATGGGCGAAGAAAAAAAAATCGGATTTTAAATTTTTTTTCTTGGTTATTTTCTAGTAGTTGAGCTTATGAATGTATCCATGATTCAAGGGTCTTTGAACAAAAACTTCCGCTTTGACATGCGGGTTGCCTAAAGCTGACATTGCAGGTGGTATCAAATTTGCCGTCTGATTCTCAAGGTTTTATTTCGCTTTTGCATGAGTTCTGTGGCAGATGAATCAAAATTTCAATTAAACATGCTTATTCTCCTTCCTTTAAGGCACATGTTGGTATAGCATTAATGTGCATTGGCATATTTTTAGGAGGACCAAAACCACCTCCAAAACTTGCTTTAAAAAAAGTCCAAAAAAATGTTAAGAAAGCTCGATAAAAAAATGTCCACAAGTGTCCCCAAAATCCTTTGTTGGGTTGCTTCTTGTACCCTATCAGGAATAATAAAATGTGGTAATTAGCCGCTAATATCCACTAATCTGCGAAAACGGTCCATTTGAATGATAGGAAGTCGCGCCTGCTGGGAACCAGTCTTGCTTTAATAATAATTCTGGAACCAATTGTATTTAAACTTCCCAATGCCAATGCCCTGTAGGGTCTCAATACACATTCATGGGTATGACTGACCCATGTGAATTGTACTTGCTTGAAATTCCGTTTTTGAACTGCAAACTTCAAACCGCCCCAACTCCAGTTTGGTTTGACTTTTTTATGCATGTTTTGCCTTAAAATAATTGTGGAATAATGCTGTGCTCTAGTCTGTGTTATTCAATTTGAGTTTTTGTGGATAAAGGCGCCCTTCCCTGTAGCCTGTCACATTTATTTATTCACCTTTATCCACTCAGCTATAGGATTTTGGGTAATTAAACATCTTGGTTTTTTTTCTTTTTTTTTAAAAAAAAACTAGATGGCTTTTTTATTTTGTCAAAAAAGTATCGAAAATAGTAAAATACAATCTAAAAGTTGAAGGAAGTTAACAAAGAATTATTGTGATCTCTATCAATGATAAACTAAAATAACAAAGGACAATAAGCAATGCACAAAGTTAGAATGTCACGATATTTTCTGAATCTTCTCAACAGCCATTTCAGCCTTTAGCCTTAGTTTTTGGTCTTTGAAAAAATCGATTAGAGAGGGTACTAACTTCCTCTATCGATCGGAACTGATATTTATGTGGATCAAAGAGTAAGTTTCCCCATGCTGTAGTCCTGATGATTTTTAACCAATTTTGAATCTCAATAGGTGAAAAGAAAGCTGTTGTGCTCACTACTTTCTCAATTTTTTTTCTTAATGATTTCATATTGTATTAGTTTACAGCAGCAATATATTTTGAAATTCCAGTCTTTTCATAGACGATCAGATCATGCAATGACTTTACACAGTCTTGTTGGCAATAAAAATCTTCCTGTACATTCGCAACTTAAAATGGGTTAAATTTTAGATGAGAAGGATGAACATGCATGATTGACAAATGGAAAACTCAAAAGAGTAAGAAACGAGGCTAATAGTAAGCTCCATTTAAGTCAGTCACTATCCTTAACACCTGTAATGCATCAATCAGCTAATTTAGGTCTGGCGAAAATCGCAGTCATGCCAACATGTTTGAGAGGATTTCAGCTACCTCTTATCGAAGAGGATTTAAAATTGGTTGGAAACTAGCAAAACTGCAGTATAGGGAAATTTACGTTTTAATCTAACTTTCTCACCCTCCAATTATTCTCAGCTCCCATCCAGGGCCGCAGTATCTCTCAGATAAAATGCCTAAAAACCATATTAAAAAAAAATATATCCAATTTTGTAAGTAGTTTCACTCGATTTCAACTTTTAACTTTTCAACTGAAAAAAAAAATGTGTCATTTTGAAACTAAAAAAATATATGTGAAAGTCTGGAAGACCAGAATTTACTCATAGTTACAAGTTCGCTAAACGTATCACACCTTTAGAAAATTGAACTCAGGGGCTCTTCATTCATAGGAAAGTTGGTACAGTTGTAAGTGCAGTTGATTTTTAAAAACTGCCTGAGTAGATTTTTAGGACAGAATTTCTGAGATATTTCATCACAATTTGGATGGAATTTTAAAATATGAATGAATGTTTCCATGTTTCCCGCCTATCACAGAAGCAATTCATATGCTATTAATTTCCCAAAAGATATGGGTGATCTCATAATTGTAGCTATTAATGTAAAAATAAGCATAATATGCTAGAAGCATGTAGTCGCAATGCACTAATATTGAAAATAAATGAAAAGGAGGATTCCATTCCTTCTCACTTGAACATCCAGTTAAAAAACATATATTTTTAAAAACTTTAAATGATGAAGGGTTGAGCCCAACACATTCATTTGAAATGATAAATTGTCTAATAAGATAATAGCGTTCACCTTTAAAATGAACCTACTTGCTATATTGATTCTTTAAAATTCTTTTTTCTCAAGTTCTTTCTGAAGTCTTTGAACCTAGAGCTGACATTAAAGTCTACAGATGCATCAAGAAAAAGAAAATAAACAAATGTTAAGATGGTTCATTGATAGAAATGGAAGGAACTTGAGATGAATTTTGGTAAGATGATACCTCCTCTTCAAAAAGTTTCAAATGTTCCGTCTTCAAGAAAGGTTTGAATTCTGAAATAGATTAGAAAAAGAGAATCAATCAATAATTTCGATAATCAATATTTCAATCAATAATTTTGAACTTGAACAAAAATAATCTACAGGCATCACTACATCACCGGTTAAAATGTCAATCGTTTTTTGTGGTGCGATACTTCAAAACACCATTTTTTTGGTTTCATAATGTTGGATTTTTTACCAAAGCACATCGATAGCGAAACTGCAAAAGTACGTATGTCAGTTGCAGTGTTTCAATTCTCCGTTTCTACTTCATTTTTTTAAAGGAGACCGAATCAACATCATGGCTTGACAAAGTTCATGGAAAATTCTTCACGATAAGAAGAAAAATCACCCTAGTTTTCAAGAAAAGACGTTCAGTAGTTTTTCATGCAGAAAATTGAGTATGACAGGAAGTCTACAACACCGCAAACTGAGATATGCATTTCTGCAGTTTCACCAAAATCTATAAAATTAAATATTTGATGTATGTTTTGAAAGTTTTGAAAAATCCTTTTAGCCACTTACAGTGAAACAAAAGAATGGTTTGTGTCTCATTCCCGCATGTAATTAGATATTGCTGCAGTATTAACTGGACCTCTGTTATAGAGTGAATTTCCCACAAAAATTTATGCGTGAAATATTTTTTGAAGCATAGGCTGAAGAGCAGTCGATAGCCTTTTGGTATTTAATGAGATTACAGTTAAAACAGAGCACAAAAGGTAATTGCATGAAACCTCGCAACTTACTTTTAAATAATGGGCGTAATTCTTTATTTTCATATGGAAAAACTTTCTTAAGTACTTCGATCAGCTCAGAAAATGTTGCTTGCGCATGAGCATACTTGCAAATGGTCACACTAAAGATACCGTATTCATTGGCTGGAATTGATGATTTTACCTAGTAGGAAATACAGAGAGAATAAAAAAGTTTAGGAAAATAAGAGAAAAATAATGAGACTGTTTCACATTCTTTTATAAATTAATTTTAGGAAAGTGCCTAAAAAATGAAAAAAGCTCCATTTTTCCACTTTTCATCAAATTAAATCAAATTTTTGCTGAGAAAAAGATGATCAAACTCGCCAAAAATTCAACAGCATTTTAAATAGTTTACAAGAGCTTTCTGTTTCATTAATTTAACATGGTTTTTACTGATTATATTTGAAGATATTCTTCTTCGGTTCAGGACTGTTCTCTTTCTAATTTTTCGAGATATTTACTGTTTTTTTTTTTTTTTTTTTTTTTGCACAACTTAAGGTCTTGCATATTTTCACATAATGACGATTGCCTTTCCAAAATCTTACTTTGGAGGAGGATTGAAAAAGTCATTGGCAGCATGAATTACTTCTCATATTGAGTTAAAATTTTCTCCTATCAAACTCCATTTTAGCTCCAAATAGAGCCACTACTTACATGGAACTAAGCCTGCGCTAAAGTAGAAGGGGAAAGGGGCGAAGGAAGGATGAGTCTCATCCCTTGCTTTGCCATGAGCTTTTTTGTTAAGTTCAACATATGCGGGCACTTAAAATTTTGATGCATCATCCAAGAATGTTAGAATTCCTCTCGTTTTTCACCAAAGGGTCTTCAGAAAATTTGTACAACTTGATGATAATACTGGTTTATAACATTTTGCTTCAGTAGAACTGAATGACAGAGAGCATTGTTTTTCTTCGCTTAAAATGCTGTAAAATTTTCCCAGGGATTACACGAACAGGTAGCCAGAAAATCGCTATACCTCAGTAAAATTTTAGGCAAACGAGCTGAACATGGTAGCGTTGGAAAGTTGATGAAATGATCTTTGAGCTCCTACAACCCACCAATAGCTGGCTTTAATTTTTTTTTTTTTTTTACTACTTCAAGTAGCCTACAAAGGCTTATCCTACGCTTTAGTACCGTCCTCCCTCCGTCCCTAACAACCAGTCCCAGGCAACCATTATTGAATTGATTGCCAATTTGAGAGTAGCTGACAAAAATTTTGGGATGCCGTATGTATTAGACCTGCCTCAGTATAGCAGTTCCTAATGCTCCACGAAATGGTGAGTACCAATGTATTTAGCATCTGTCAAATGATATACTTACTTGAATCAAATAATTTTTAATACTATCATTTCTTTCTTCTTGAGTTTTCTTCTTCATTTTCCGAGCAAACTCAATATCGTGTAATTTTAAATTTTTCACAGTTAGTTTTGGTCTCTTTACATCAGGCTCACTAGATGAACAACTAATTGCTGGTAACTCTTCACGCTCCGGTGCTTGGAATGTCTTGAAAAACAGAATAAAAGTGATGTTAGTATTGAAAAAAGAATTACGGAGGAGCATTGCTCCTTCTTTTGTTGCCTCATCTAACAGTTACAAAACTACATATTGGTATGCAGAATCTTTAGGGTCCCAATGAATGGTAGAAAAAGTCTGCCAAAAACTTCTGCCCAGAGAGTGGTTGAATGGCAGTTTTTCAAAATAAAGGCAGCAATGATTTTCAAAAAGGACTTCCAAATTGTTTTTTTTTTTTTTATAATTAATAAATTAAGAAGCTGACAAAATAAATGCAACTGGTAATTTTTAAAGTCATAAAATTCGGGCTAAGAATCATAATCAAACTGTGTGCCTTCATTTATTCCCCCCCCCCTCCCGATTAAACTAATTGAAATAATAATCGGCCAAAATCTAATGAGAGTCAGCGGTTTTTTGTGTGATTTTTACCAATGATAGCCCAAAATAATTAGTTTAAGGTTGAAAATGAATAACATGATTGAAAAAATTGTCAAATTTGACTTGATTATACACATTTGTATCTCCCATAACCTCACTGTGAAGTAAAACATTTTGCATGAAAGACTATGTACTGCATGATTAAGATAGGGCTATGTTTTGTCTTGTCATTAGTTCAATAATCGGGCCGCCGGTAATAAAAGGGTTAAATGTTCGAAGGATACATTTGACAATATACCGGAGTCTCAGCAAAGCAAAAACCTGAATAAATCAAAATTAAATAAAATACAGTTGAAAAATTGGCTGGGTGAAAATTATGTTTCCCTGCTAAAAGTCTGATTGAGATATATAACTAAAATTACGCAGGAATGAAACTGAAGAGAAAAATTACCCCTTCATTGTTACCTCACCTTTTGACTAGATAGTTCGAGACGTTCGAACAATGACATAGGTTTATCAGCCTCTCGTTTCTTGGTGGCTGAAGGAGTACTCGAAGTACCAGCATATCCACTCAAGAACTCATCGCTCTTATCCGCAGTGCTGCTACTCACAGATTTCTTTGCAAGTGCTCTGGATGCACTACTATATTCAATTGATGGTCTTGGCTTCACATTACACTACAAGAGATAGAATTGAGTGAAAAGAAACATTAATTGATTTACAGGGAAATGAAAAAAAACAGAACTCAAAAAAGGAGATGAAACTCTGGAACTGAGATAAATTATAGCCTATTCAAAGCCAAAATTTACTTGAAATACAATTTTATAAATCAAGTAGTCAACATTCATTTATTTTTTTAAAAATAAATGAAAGGATAAGAGATACTGATCACTTTTAAATACTGAATTGATTATTAGTTGAGTTCGGAGACATTGTTTAACTTGGAATGTTGTAATGAGTTCACTTATTTTGTTGTTTTGGAAACCGAGCGACTTAATTCTTGAAACTTCTTTGCAATCTTTTTTCTATTAGATTAAATAATCCAATATTTTTCAAATAAAAATTAACATTTCTTGGAAACTACTGACTTTGACCTAAAAACATGAGTTTTCCTCAGAAACTGCGCTCTAAGTTGCATTATTTGGACTATCCTTGAGAAATCTAACTTAGATTGATTGAATATTCCAGGTTTTTTTGAGCATCGATAACATTATAAGTTGTGAGAGTTATCATATGATGGTATGAAAAGCCACCATATCTCGAGTAAATCTTATTCAGATGATCTTTAGAGAGTGTGAATAGATTGATTCAACTTTTTATCATTATTGATGTAAAGCTAAAACTGTTTCCCCCTTTTTTTTCGAAAATATACATCAGGAAATAACAAAACAAAAGTTTATTTCACCTAGAGATGCAAACAATGTTTTGTGACCATAATAAATGTCTTACCTCAGAGACAACACGTGAGGAGCGGAAGAAACTAACTAATTTTTGCATGAAAGCTCCAAAAGATGGGGCTTTAAATATCAGTGGCTGGAGCCAAGCAGATAAACTATTCGTGGCAGAGCCATGGAATCGAGAATCACAGAGAATCAATGCACCATAATCTTGAGAGTGCCGCAGCACACGGCCCAGAGCTTGGTTCACTGCACGGATAGCTTCTAACTGATACCATCTTTGACCATCCAGTGACTGGAAGAGAGTCATATTACAGTATTAAAATTTAAAATAAAAACAGAACTACCAAACTGCTTCAGGTGCTAAAAACAGCTTTGTGGTTATGTTTCAATTCCAAAGGAAACGTTTGATATTGCTGAAACGCGCGCGCATGCAGGGAGGGGGATTAAAAAGATGGCAGGCATAGGAGATAGCAGAGCCTCAGCTTCTGTGTAGAATCCTACAGAAGTAAGGAATTGATTTTACTTCAAAATAGAAAGGATGTTAGATACAAAGGGCATACATCTTAACACTTAGAGGCCTGTCTGAGTATGTTCTAGATTATAATACTTACACAGTCCTGTGTTCCATTCAACAGCCTTGATGAAAAGACAGTACAGGGTAAATAACATTGTAATACAACAGCACATTTCTGCTCCGGGCTAAAACCACAGGAATACTTACAAGCAGGGGAAATGAATGATAGACTAAGATTTACAAGCAACATTCCTGAGAGTTCAAGATTTTGGAATGCCACAATTCCTCATGAAGAGGATTGTTGCAAGATGCTCAGGTAGGGCCAATGACCAAACCTTGCTGCATAGGTGCTTGCTGGACGTAATTATTTTGACAGTTGAAACGGTATCAAGAGCTCTTTTCCACGCAAAATTACTGAGGAGAGGTACAAAATTCATATAATAAGCATGGGCAGATACTAAAATGTAGTTAAATATTAAATAAACAGACCTAAAGTTGCCAACACCAAATTGCGAGGGATCTTGAGAAGGCATCATACTGACCTGATGCCATTTATGTCATTACCAGTGCCTGTTCTTAGAGACATTGAAACTTTAAAAAAAAAACAAGAAGAGAGCAGGTTCTAGCACAGGAAGAGTTGTATAAAGAAAACTCAACATACCAACTTGTTAGTGCGACGATTTTCATCCAAATACTCTTTCTTGAGGGTTACTCGTGGATCAAAGATCGGAGGATAAGGTATACCAGTGATGATGACAGCTCTTGCTCTGTTATCTGAGAAGTCTAATCCTTCTGATATTTTCCCACGACATACGGCAAATAACACCGCTCCTCTTTCATCCACAGCCTTGTAAAATTCTTCTATCACAGAATTCAAAGCCAATTTGTTGGTCTGCTCAATGAATAGGGCCTAACAACAAAAATCAAGTGAGAAAATAATGCAAAATGAAAGAGCCAACTAAAGGAAGTATGTTAATTTCAGTGAAGCAGTTTGGATTTAAAGTTGTTTTGATCGGTGAAAGGACCAACACAAAGCAAAGGTATAGACTGGATTTCCGGCATTCTCTTGAGGCAATTACTTTTAGGCCAAGTTTCAATCTGATGCTAATTAAATTAACCAAAATGGTATTCTAGTATTATACTGGATACTTGTATAACCGGCCAATTACTGAATCATCCAGTCAAATTCATGATGGTCTCAACCACCTTGGCAGAGGAAAATTAAAACAAGTGACTTTAAGCTTTGTCTATTTACATTCAAAGGAAATGCAAGGCAATTTCTTTGTTTTCGGTCATCAAAACATCATAGAAAGTGCATTGAGAATAATCTGAGATCAGATCAATAAAATTATGGTGGTATATCATGGTGAAAGAAATACTATAAATACGGTCCGAATACTGTAAGTAGCAGGATGATAGGAGGGATCAAAGCGAATAAAAGCCAAGAATTAAAATTAAAGTTACCATGAACTCTAAAAGCGGTTCACTGCAATCAGACTAAGTGGGGGCAGATGGATCGGAGATACTTAGCTGGGGCCATTTTGATGGACTTTCTGCTCTCATTTAAGCTCATCAGTTCCTTCAGTCTCGCACTAAAACGCACTGCAGTTCATTGTACCTCTAGATTTAATTTAAAGTTTTTCCTAGCTTTTAAATCTCCTCAGAATAGCATGGTCTTAGAACTATTCTACCATCTTCTTAGAGAAGCTGACTTTATCCCACTGGAAACCTCTTGCTTCTCGGCACATTAGAGATGGAATACAGGGTGTCTACTAAAATAGGCTGGCCAAAAATCAGTACTTTTGTAGTGCTTTTTCAGTACATTCCCAATAAATTCAGTATCTTCTTAACAGAAAAATTCAGTACTTTTTCAATACCTCCAATTGACGAAATTCGAAGAATTTCAAAGATTTGAATTCCTCGCTTAAAATGCGACAAAAATGACAAAAAATGAAAAAAATTCCGGACCTTCTTGCGGAATTTCCGCACTTTTTCAGTACTTCAGTACGGACCGCCTTAAAAAATCAGTACTATTCCCAGACTTTCCGGAAATTCCAGACTTGTAGACATCCTGGAATAGGACATGGAATGATGGAAGAAAAATTAAGTGTAAATTTATGTAAAAAAATTACTTCTAATAAACCAAATATTTTGCGCAGCTAACGTACTTTGTGCTTACTTAAATTACTCCAAATTCCACAGTCTTGCCAGGCTTGGACTGCTTTGTTCATGACAGAATAGGACGGGAAGAAAACAAGCACACCATGCGGAATAATCCTGACACAGTTCAGTATCGTTTGACCTAGTTCCGAGACATACTGCTTATTCTCCCTGTTGTCGTATGTTGACTTCAGTTCAACACTGGCTGGACCTTTCCCTAATACTGATATGTACACCTGCAACGTCAATAGACATTAAAACTTGACCCGATGACAGCAAAGTGAGACAAATAAATTCTAATGTGAATTAAACAACCCTTCTTGGCCTCCTCAACAATGTATTCAGGAGAACAAAAATCTGTGAGAGGTGTTAGATTCATCACTTGAGCGATTTTAATACCAAATGAGGTAGCAGTAAAGAAAAGCTTTCAATAAATGAATTGTAAAAATGGGCACCACTGACCCATTGTTATAACTATATCAAAAACTGAAAGCATGGAGTCTTGACTAAAAGTATATTACTAATATTTTTTTTATCAATATTTATTCATTTACGATTATCTTTCAGGGTTTTTGCATCCTTGCAATACATTGATACTTTGAAATACATACTTGATTTGGTTGAATTATGTGAGGGTTTTCAAGTTGCACTCCAACGGGTATACCAAGTTCTGATATTGTTGCATCAAGGGGGCTTAGGGTTCCACTGGTTAATATCACAGAGCGAACGCCCATATCCATTAACGCTCGTAACCTATATTAATGTAAAATAGACTGTAATAATATAGTATATAATAATGCAGTATATAATAATAGACTATAATAATATATTATTATTAATATAAAATGGATTGGGAGTAATCAGACTACTGCACCTACTGTTGCAGATCCTCGAATGACGATAAACCTTCAAGAGCGTGGTAAAATTCTACAAGAAAACATGCTGTCGAGATTAAAATGTCTTGAAATAGCTTGGCACAGTACATAATGGAAAATTAATGTTAAAACGCAAGGTAAAATATACATTGTAAAGACAAAAGTGACCTTATTTTGAAAAAACAAATAAAACTGGATCCTGTTTTATACAGAATAAGTAGAGGCTCTTGCATAAAGATTTAGTCATAAAATAAGGTGTTTTGTAAGAAAAGTAGATTGTAAACAATGAACTGTCAAACACTTAAAAACACTTTCTCAATAGCTTTAAGAGCTCAGTTTCTCCTTGAGGTGAACTTTGTTTGACAAAAAATCAAGCAATTCTTTCCAAAAGATTGTCTAAAAAAGTTTGTCACAGAGTGAATCCCAAAAGAACCCCGCACAGAGCATGGGCTCAGCGGCTCCCTATGAAAGTCGATGAAACTGTAGTAGATTGATATAAAGTTCATAACTAAGGGAAAGCCAAAAAATTAGCTCACTTCTGCGAGTAGAAGCTGAGATATTCGCGATTGAACCCGGACTATTTTCTGTGCGGCGGAGGTAAATTCTCCGCGTCTCCTTACCTTGCTTGAACACTTCGGCCAGGAAACCCCCCCTCCCCACCGTGTTACTACGATGTCGCATTGTTTACACTCTTTCCTTTCATTAGGACGCTCCGTTCGGGCTGTGCGATATGGAGTTCCCTCCTTCTCGCACCTCTCCCGTGCCGGTGCCGCCGGCCGGTTTAATCTGAAATGTAGTTGCTGAAACAGAATTGACAGATGCGGGGAGAGGGAGGGAGTACGGCATTTGCACCGGCCGAGCGCATAAGCACCTATCTTCCCGTGAGTGACGTGAGGTCTGATCGAGAACGCCGAACAACGAGTGGAAAGGGGACTCGGAGTTCCTCCGTCATGCTGCGGCATGATAGAAAATAGTCCGGATTCAATTGCGAATATCTCGGCTTCTACTCGCAAAAATGAGCTAGTTTTTGGCTTTCCCTTAATTATGAGCTTTATAACAATCTATTAAAGTTTCATTGACTTTCATAGAGAGCCGCTGAGCCCATGCTCTGTGCGGGGTTCTTTCAAAATTGTCAGCTCAGCATTTTTTAATCATTCAATAAACGATTGTATTATGACTTGCAAAAAATATAATTTATTTATTTTTAAAAAGCAGATATTAATCTTACCCAAAACCAGGATTGAAACACCAGTAATTCAAAACTTTTGCTGTACTTGAGACTGTTGCACTTGTCTTGGGAGCCCAAGCATTTTCTGCCTTTGCTTTTTTTGGAACATCCGGTTCTATGAATAACTGTGATTAAAAAGAAGGAGAACAGGACAAATGAAAGCATTGCTTGATAAACTATCTAACACATGATACTTTTTGTTCCATCAATGAAATCTAAAGTTTTAATTTTGTAGAATGTCTAACTTAAGATTCTTGCTGTCAACACATTAGATTGCATAAAAATTGCCCTATAGGTTCACTTAATGCCCTCAAAAAAAATTCCTGGAAAAGCAATATTTCAAGAGAATCCAGGGGGAGTGAAAAATGGCATTTTTTCAATCAAGCTTTTTACGTTGACAAAATATGCAGTCTAACGAAGACCAATGCAAGTCATAATGCAGTAGGGATTGATGTTAAGTGGCATATTATATGCAAACTTTGGGCTTGAATTTTTTTTGAGCCTCCGTATAGAGTTTCTTGAATTCTTCAGCACAGATTACCATTTTTTTGTATATTTTCAAGGCGTGGCGGAACAAATGAGTACAAATACATGGATAGTCAACATGAAAACTTGTTTTCCCCTGGATATTTTAAAGTTAGTCATTTTACCCATGTTGCCTTTAAAACAAAAAATACTCTAAATTATAAAATGATAAAAGTAGCGTGTAACAATAACACCTGAGGCGCAAAATGCCTCAAGCACTAGACCGCAAAGCGTTCAGGGGGTGTAGCGTGTAGCCCCCTAGTGAATAAATAAAGCCCAAGAATTCTCATTTATTCACATAGTGTTTGAAAGGGGGATGAGTAAATTATTATTTTGGAATTAAAATACAAACGGAAAGATTCACGATTTGGCGTTTTACCTTGAAACACGATGCAGCGGAAGATTTGCTCTGGAATACCCTAACAACAAAGTCTTGAAACGCGGATAAGTGCTGACCTTTACGTGCAAATGGAGAGTCACCTTTTGCAGTGGCAAATTGAGATACTTTGTACAAAATTTCAATCAAAGGAGGGCAACTTTCTTCCGTAATCTGTGAAAAAAAAAATCCCACATAATTTACAGCACCACAAGAAAGAAAAATAATGATCAGTGGAAGAGTTGTTATTTATGATCTAAGTTGTTTATCAATTCCTCCAAGATAAATTTACTTCCATTTGATTTGTTGACTGTCGGCCTTATAGATATCCAGACAATCACATAGTCCGTAAAGAAGCATGAAATTTTAATGATAGATGGTAGAGAATTCTGTATATTGCTTTAGTAGCTTAGAGCAGAAGGGTAACAACATAATTTTCCTTTGAGGACACAATGGTAATTCAAAAAGTCCTACTCTCATTCAAAATCTGTTAAAAATAGAAAAAATCCAACAACACATGCAGATTAGGCATGCTCTCAGCTTTGATTGGAATCCAATATTGTTTTAACACCGGATGAACAGGACTCACAGGAAGTCAATTTTTCTGCACTACCATAGGTTCACGTCTCTTCACCCCCAGGCACACAATGATCTTGATGAAATAAGTTTCAAAACAATGAGCCATTGTTCCCTAGATTATGATCATCAGCAAGGAAATTATGCATTATTTTAGTCAGAAAATTTTTTTTCTAACACAGATACTTCTAATTGACACTTTTTGCGTTTAGGAGAGCCGTACGAAAAAAAAATGCTGAATGCTATTGTGATTTGGCCGCAGATTTAAGTACTAACTTTTGCCGTCTAGGATCTCTACTGGGGGCTATTTAAAGCCTATCTGCCCAGTGGCAAAGCTGAAGAGAAATTTTTATCGTTTTGAGGAGAATTTTCCTAGGAGAGCTTCAAAGGTTGTGTTCATTTTTAAAGGCAATTGAAGGATTCATTTCAGCCCTCTATTTCTAAGTAAGTTGAGAGGATATAAGTGCTTTAAACAGACAGAAATCACATGTGAGATCAATCAATAACAAATTATGAGACTGTTTGAATGTTTAGACGATTTTTTCTTCCATCTCTTTCTTAACAACCCTGGTTGCCAAGAATGTAAAAAAGAATCAGCAGAGGTGGGAAATTTGAAAATGCGTAAAATAGGTGGTGTAAATTTTGTCTTAGAGCGTGAATTTCAGACTTTTCTGTTGGGCTATTCACTTCATGCCTATTTACCTTCAAAGTGTAAGTGAATTCATATAAAATGAATATAGTACCAGTAACAGCTTAAATTGGCCAGGTTACCAATATCTTCTACCAAGCGCATTTTATCCAACTCTGTCGAGGTAAAAATGTGGACTCACCTCAGCTTTGGCCAGAAGTGGAAAAATTTCCGATCCCGACAAAGCCTTTGTTGGCGGCCCAGATTTTCCTGACATAGACTGTAGTGGAAATTCATCTATCACTTTTTCTAACTCGAGCAAAACTGTTTTGAGAAGACATAATTCGCTCACACTCAAATCATCACTATTTTCTTCTTGGTTCCCCAACCCATCCATTTCCTTCTCCCCATGTTCTTGTTTCACCTTCATAACCTGAAAGAGAGACATTTCATTTATATCAGGGTTTCAGACATTATATTTTGATTTTGAGAGGAATTCACACTTTCAAAATTGACCCTAAGCTACCATGCTGTACTCCATTAGGTGTTTCTTCAAAGCTTGAATCAAAATCTGAACTAAACCTGCATTCAGTTTTAAATATTACCTCTATCAATTTTCTTGACAAAAAAATTTAATTGTTAAACTTACAAACACGAATAAAGAGATGGTAGAATAGTAGTGGGTCCACACTATTCTGAGGGGAAATCAAAGGTAGAAATACTAAAACTTAGGATTAATACTGGCAAAAGTAACGTGAAGAGCATTAATTTCAACTTATTACAAAAATTGCACAATTTTTCCACAAAGGGTTATCCGAGATATTATCAAGAAGAATTCTTGGTGCAGAATTTTGGGGGAAGATTTTGTCCGTAAGCCATCGATGAGGAGGTAATCTCACTAGATTGCAAAAAACTTTAGATTAATGACTTTGAATGAACTAAGTAAATAAAATTCAGATTATGGTTAGGTTCAGATTAGTAAGATGGGAGGGGGAATTTGAAAAGAACCTTACTGATCTCTAAATCTACATTTAAGGGCTGAAGAATTGTACCTAATAATATGGGAAAAGTTGAGCAATTAAAATTTTCAACGTCCATAGGGTGGATATTTGACGCTAAAAAGAGTAAGTAATAACTATGAAAACACCTATTTTCCAGGTCTCTACTCTCTCTACTTCAATTTATTGACCTAGCATTTTATATAGGGGGATACTCTGTCCTCCGACTTCAGGGGTCAATATTTCAGCCAGGGACAGGTCGATTTTTGACTTTTAGGTATTGCTTTAGGTTAAAATGTGATATTTTTTTCTTTTTTTGAGATAGTTTCAGAATGGTTGTCAGTCACAAGGTCTACAGACATAATGTCTACTGCAAAAATGTCTACTTTTTTTCGTCTACTACACAAATGTCTACAGTTAGTATGTCTACTATTAAAAAGTTTTTTTAAAAGAAAGTCTATTTACTACATGTCTACAGTTATAAATGTCTACATAATTAGATGTCCGGTGATGGATAATTTCCCGCAAAATTCTGAAAAATCATAACCTATAAATAATAAATCATAATTTTCCCTGCAAAATTGGCGACTTGGTAATACCTCATACGCGTTACTAAAATTCTGATTTTGCAATTACTGGCGGGCCACATTAGAATCAGACATCCGATTAAAAAATCGTACAGGAGGAATATGAGAAGACTTGAAGGAATTGTTGCTCGGTATACCTTCTACAAAGGAGATAATATGGTTGACAGATACTTGCATGTAATCGGGCATTGCCTTAAGGTGTTCCCGGAAAATCGAAACGACCAAGACGACGAAAACCTAGACGACCCAGCTGCTTAAAGCTCTGAGGCAGGCTTTACGACATTTTAGGTAATTTCTTTTTTAAATTAATAATTCTTTATAATGTCTACACTATATCCACAGTCTACACGTTTATAGTCACCGTACACGGTAGACTTTCAACAAATAGACTTTCTTTTTAATAAACTTCTTAATGGTAGACATACCAACTGCAGACATTTGTGTAGTAGACAATAAAAAGTAGACATTTTTGCAGTAGACATTATGTCTGTAGACCTTCTGACTGGAAATCTTCAGAATTGTGATGGTGACCCCTTTTGTCAGTAACAGGAACTAAGCCAGGACTTCCCTTTTAGACCCCAAGAAACTCTGGAGGGCTTTGGATTGGTGAAATTTGGATTCCTCGGGGTCGATTCCCTCTTCGCCCCAGTAGTCCTTAACTTCATCCGACCCATAATAACCGAGAAGAAAGCCTGGTGCCGGTGGTTTAGGACACCATGTATATTTTATTAAATGAATTACAATGAGACTTACTTCTGTGACTTCTTCAATGCAGTAAGCAATTTGGGTGGAAGAGAGTTTTGTCGACATCACTTCCTCACTAACTTTTTCAATATTGTGCCCTTCATCTAAAATAATAATGGCATTCTGTGGACATGATGGCAAGAAAAACGATTCATATATCAGGAAATATGGAAATCATTTCAAGAACGAGATATGAACAAATAATTTTGACAGATATAGGATGGAAGTTACATTATACAAAGGACGTCATTTGTAGGATTAAAGAGGGAATAGTCGCTTAAGGTCAGTCTTGTTGCGATTATAGAAGATATGGCGATTTAAAAGGGAACATTCCGTCTTGCTGCCAAGTTGACCATTCAGGGCGTATGCCTGAGTCGTCGACATGGTGACTTAACGGAACAGTCAGGTCAAGATTTAGGAGGGATCAGTCTTGTCTCAAAACTAACCAGTCAAGCCGAAGGCCTGAGTCGTCCATGTGGTGATTTAAGGGGAAACATTCACTTAAGATCGGTCTTTACCCAGTCAGGTCGATGGCCCGAGTCGGTCTTATCGGTAAGTTAACCACTCAAGCCGGTGGCCCGGGTTGCCGATGTGGCGATTTAAGAGAGAGCATTTGGTCTTGTTGCCATGTTAACGAGTCAGGCCGGTTTCCTGAGTTGTCCATGTGGTGATTTAAGGGGAAACATTCGCTTAAGATCGGTCTTTACCCAGTCAGGTCAGCCACCCGAGGCGGTCTTGTAGTTAACCACTCAGGCCGGTGGCCCGAGTCCGTCTTGTTGGCAAGTTAACCAATCAGGCAGGTGCCCTGGGTTGTCAATGCGGTAATTTAAGAGGAAATAGTCGCGAAAGATCAGTCTTGTGGCCGGGTTAACCAGTCAGACCACATGTCTGAGTCGTCGATGTGTCTTGTTGTTGTGTATCTTGTATCTTATCTAGAAGTTATTTTCTAGATTTTCAGGAGTGTGATTTGTTTCTCTATGAAATTTTCGAGAGGAGCTTAGCGCTTTAATTCGTACCTTGTTTAGAGGCCTATTGTAGCGAAAGAAAATGTATTTGAGTAACTGAAAAGGTTCTGCTCATAAACGCCTCTTCGTCCACTCATGTTTGGCGAACACAGATCTGAATTTGTATTGGTAAAAGGCATGAAAAGTCTCCTCACTAATTTGCTGAGTTATGAAACCATAGTAAGATTGATCATTTCTTCCTGAAGATGGAAGTCAATTTACTTTTGTCTCCTGCTGTAAATGATTTATTCAAGTAAGTCCAGCAAGGTCTAAAAGTCAATGCTGAAGGATTTCCTTATTTTCTTATACCTCCTATCTAGGAAGTATTTTCTTCACCACAACTGCCTCTTTTGACCATTAATGATGGGGAAAAAAAAAAAATAATTGATTTTTGTTACTATCAAGTGATCTAAGTTGAAGTCAAAATTTCTTGATTGATACCCGGATAATTTTCGGCCACTGATCCATTAATTGGCTTCTGTCTGTTAGAACCATGCCAAAATACAAAGTGATTTCAAAACTTCAAAAAGGGTGTGACGTGGCCGTGTATATGACCACGTTACAAGGGGACTAGATTTTACCATTTACCTTTCCAACCATCATACTGCTTCTAGTTACTGTAAAAACACCGATGACCTTGGTGACACTTATGTCAAACGTGAGTGAGTTCTGTACTTTCTTTGGCTTACCTGAACTTAGTGTTCAAGGTGCTACAACTTTGCCTGTAATTCCTCCGTTGATGTTGGTCCTATATTTTCTCGTTGAGACTATCGTGTCCTCATTAGTAATTTTTTACTTTACTTCTCATTTTTCTGTGTAGTCAGCTGATTTCTGATGATTCTGAGGGCTCATTGCAGTTTGTTTAGATTGTACAAAAAAGGAATGGCACAATTGCAACAATATTTCAATATCAAATTCTATCTCAACGTTGATAAAGTATTAGGACACAAAAATTTTGCTATACTTACATCGAGAGAGATATCTTGAGTTTTTCTTATTTTTGGGTCAAGCAAATAGTTATAAGGGGCAAAAACAATATCTGAATCCTTCTGCAATTCTTTCGTGAGATAATATGGACATGAACGCAACCGCTTTCCAGACTTAACAAGATCCTCTATGTCAACAACTGTTTGCAGTGAGGGATCAACTTTGGTCATTTCAACGTTATTGTGAAATGCACACTCCCTTCCGGATACTAATATACGGCACAGCAGGTTCTGAAAAAATATAGTTTTGACATGTTTAAAACCAAAGTCTTTTAACTAAAGCATGGTGAAATAAGTCATTATCTTGCTTAAGAGCTTCAAAAATCAAGTGAGTAAAAAAAATCAAAACAAAAAACTTTAACAGTTACTGTTGGCCTGACACAGTGCTGCCTAAAGCCAGTCCATTCAGCTGACTTTTTTTTCTTTCATTCTTTAATGACTTAATCTTTTTTTCCATTTGGGAATTGCCCTCTTTCGCTGATTTATCATAAAGGTTCCTATAGAATCTAAGGGGATGTCATATAATTTGAATACCAATTATTAATTTCAATTCTTTGAGGTCGTTGTTGAATTGTTCACCTACTAACCATTGAGGACTTACAGAGTGATAATTTAAAAGAAACAAGTCCAAGATATGCTCCCCTTTAACAACAACGAACGGTTATGAGGATCTGTTCCGGCCATTTTCTCTCCTAATTTGACTCTAATCGGTTGGAATTTGGTGTAACACCACTTTTGGATGTGGACTCCTCACTCAAATCACTTTTGAGGTTTTTGGACCTGCTTCCATTAAGAGACTAAAGTATGTAATAGAGAATAGATTAAGTAACAATCAGAGTCATCTAGCAACTGAACATAAAATGACCTCTATACACAAGGGACAACCAGATAAATTTGTTTGATGACAAACCAACTTACATTCCGTAAAACTTTACCTTAGTAACTGTTTTTTCTTCTTTTTGCACTTGTGGGTGAATACACAGCTGATCTCTGGAACCTAAAACTGTCACCCTAACATCAGCATAGTGAGTCCTCTTTAATTCTGCCATTGCTTGACTCAACTGCGAGTGCGTACGAGATGCATAGATGATTTTTATTTTTGAATCTGTCAACAAGTACAATGATAGATGAAATTATACAAAACAGACATAAAAATCTGATTCAAAACTCAAATTTTAAGGCAGGCTGACATACAAAATATATGGACACGCATACTGCCAGTTGAAATTAGATTTTGTTGAGGAGTGAAAAAAATACCATAATTTGTATGGCTCTCTGTTGGAGGTGGGTGGTCGGTGAGTCTTCCGATCGCTATTTCAGCTCTACCTTGTGGAATCTCACTTCTAAAAACATGCTTAATATGTCTATAAATCACTGCAGGGCGTATTACCATCACTGAATGGTATTTGTAAGTCACTTCTTGCTTCTCCGCTACAGCTTTGTAAACAGCATCTACCAGTTTTAGTTTCCAAATTCAATGTTGGTTTTGAGAGTAGTCTTTAGGAAGAAACGGAGATATATTTTGATGTTCGAATTACTCCATGTTTGGTAATGATGATTAATCTTCATAATATGATGTTGATAAAACAAATGCAGTCTGCAGTATAAATGAAGTAAACTTTCACCTCATGACATTATTTCTCCTGATTGAAAACCGGTATTTAATGGAACAGATGAAGAGAACTTTTTTATTCCTATTTTGTTGGCAACAGAGGTTCAGATCCCAAGATATATAAATTCATTGCTAATTTTTTAAAAGTCAATAGTATAAATCTTTAATTAAAAAAAAATAATAAATAATAAGAATTTTAAGCTATAGGTATCCGACTGTATTAGTTACTTTTTAGGAGTAAATACCACCTGGTTTGCTGCGGGTGGTGGTTGTTTTAGGAATGTTTTTTACTATTTACATGAAGACTATAACAATTTTTATTTCTTCGTTATATTCTCTAATAAAACTGTCCAATATCCACTTCCAAAGAATCGTTGTTAATATCCTAATCTTCCAGAATCTTCAAATCAAAAAAAAAAAGAAAAAAAAAGAAAGAATATAAATCCTAGATCTACCATACGTTCACTTTGAATGTTTTCCATGACCCAGTATATCCCGATATAGGAAGTCGCCTAGAAGGGTCTCCAGGCATAAAAATGGTGACGGCTTGAATAAAAAAATTACCCTATTTATTAAACATTTCCTTACCCCTAGACATTTCTTATAATATCAAGTATGAAATTTTGTCTATAGATGGCTGTAGGTTCCACATAAGGAATATAAGCCAATAAACCAACAGAAGAAGAAAAGGCAACAGAGGTTAGGAGGAGAGGATGTTCGCTTTGGGTTCTGGAGAAGATAATAACAAAATAAAAAAATGATTAACTTACTCCATGCAGATGTAGGGTTCATGACAGGTACTGCCATTGCTTCTGTAACATTTCTAGGATTGGATGTAAAATCGTTGGCTGCCTGGGTAGTATTATAATGATTGAGCCATGCTAGGGACGAACACAGCAAACTCAATGTCTTACCAGTACCAGTGGGTGACTCTAACACAGCATTTGTTCTCTGTAAAAAAATGAAGAAAGATGTAGTGTTTTAGTAAAAGAATGAAGGTAATCTAAAGATAAGCTGAACATAGATGAGCACTTTCAATGAGCCTTTGTGAAAGCAAGTTACAGAATACAGATTCGACACATTTCAGATAAAGACAGTCCTTATAAACTCCTGGCTCTCTATCTATACCTTTCATATGCCGGTTAAAGTTAGATCTAGAGAGTGCGCAGTGAAACAAACCCCAGTTGGAAGCGGACCTTCTGTAAGAATGGAAAAGTGTAGTCCAGAAGAGGCAATTTCACTTCAATCCTTATTTTAATCAGGTTTTAGCGTCTAGGGGCCAATTTCTAGGCGCATCTAACCATACGATTAATTTCTTGATTAGAATAGTCCCTGACCTGTTTCAAGTTCAAAACACAAGCTGTGACGGGATATTCTTACTATAATGATTACAATATATCTGCACCTGTAAGTAAACACCCGGGACAGCAAGGAACTCAGGTTATTTGAGGAGGACTGGATCTTCAAATCTGATTGAGAGATTTGAAACAAAAATTTCATCCTCGTGGATTTTTCTGGCCAACGGCAAGACCAAGCGTCCAAAGGAAATCCCAATCCATTTACGGTTGACGTTTTGATTGTCATACCTCACTTCCCTGTTAAGCAAGCATGCAACCCCATTCTCTGTTGTGTTATCACTATTGTATTTGTTACAGAATCAAGTTTTGGCTGTAACTCAGTCAAATTTATGGTGGAAGGCGTATGAAGGTTCCTGGCGAGGTGAAACCTTAACATAGCAGTGCCTTACGATCTGACTTACTAATACTTGTTTACAACGATCTACTAGAAGGATGGTGACTAACCAGCTGCAGACATTCTATGACTTTCTTCATATAGTCCAACTGAACTTGATACGGTTCGAAAGGAAATGTGACATCGACTCCGTTGATAGAAACGACAGGCATTGTGAACAAAAAGACATGCGCTTCGCAATGGAAAGTTGCACTGAAGAACTACAGAATAAGAGGGTGATTAATAATGATGATAAAAACACTATTATACGAACAGACTAGAGTACATGGATATTGTATCAGTAGGAGAGCGGCATTTAACAAAAAAGAAGGTGTGACAAGTGGTATAATAGAAATAGTTTGGAAATTTGGAAATCTGTTGAAGTTTCGCGGTTTGTTTTTAATTTCTGCTTCTTCTTCTTTTCAAGTTTGCACAAAAGGAAATTCATAACATAATTTTGTGGATAATTTTCTCCAAATTTCCCTTTAGGGAAAATATGCATAAATGCTGATTATCCTAGTATTTATAATTTTCAATTCATAATGAGTCTTCAATTACATGAATCTGAATTTGATTTTAATTTGACATAATGACTTGAATCCAACATAAATCACAATCACATGGTATGTGAGGGGATTACTTTAGTTCTCCAGTTGGTAATATTCTTCCCAATTTTCCCATTTTCCCACAGAGTTGAATGGTCGACTTTTCACTGTGTTGTTTTCATTACTTCACAGTTGCTTATTTCGAAAGTTTTCACAAACATGTGTTCTTATTAGAGAAATAATCTATTAACTCTGATTCCGCATCGTTATTTTTTCCTCTCTCGCACTCTTTTGCATCTGTGTTTTACCCTATAATGTCTGCCACTCGTAGGTTACAGAAGGTGAGTAGGCTTATTTCTTGGACCTTGAGGTATTATGTTACTCAACGAAAAATCGGATGTTCCAGTAGAATTGGAGCATTATTCGTCAAGATTCATTTTTCTCTTATCGATAATTCAAAAAAGTTGGTGTCACATCCTTAGGCTGCCTTAAATTTATCGTGCACTCTCCCTGGAGCGGTCGCTGTCATGTGCCGTGCCAATCCCTCGGTCAAAATTTTTCTTTTATTTTCGGGTCGAATACGACTAACAAGGGGACCTTACACTCATGCCTCCTCAAAATCGATCGGCGTTTGGCCTAATTGTAGTTCATGTAAATCCATTAGATACGTCTTTTAGCATTTTTGCCAATGCCCCCCGGAAAAGGGTTGAATTGACCCCAGTTGCGTCACCTTTTTCGGGGTGCGCAACAATGTGAATGACTGTGCGATGGGCCATGCGCATATCATAGGTTTGTTTGCCACTCTTTCATTGTATTCTGCTGTGGTGTAGTGTACAAGGGCGACGGTTCACACTTCGCAGATTCCGGATTCGAGGCCTGACCTCTCATCTTTATTTTGCCAATGGTTCTTCCAATGCTTTCTTCATTTCTCCCATCTGGTTCTGTCAATTGATTTTATATGTGTTACTTTTTTTTTACTATTATCATCAGTATGTCACTTTTTATATGAGTGGTTCTTATTATCCTCCAACCTCTTTCAGACATCCTGCTAACAATCGAAATTTATTGGTCGAATAATCACGGAGCGTTTAAAAAAGATACAAGGATACATGCAAATAAATGCCCATGTTAAACCTCTTGCTCTTTGTTGCATCCCTTTAAATTTGAAGTCCCAGAAAATTTGTTGTACTTCTACTTCAAATTTTTGCACCATGTAGAGTTATTTCTTTTACATCTACTAGATGTAAGGGCATACTATCAATTGCCACATAAAAGAAATAAATCTACGTAGTGCAAAAATTTGAAGTGGATTTGCGAAAAATTTTCTGGGACTTCAAATTTTAAGGGATGCAACAACGAGCAAGAGGTTCAACATGCGCATTTATTCTCGTATCTTTTTTTATTGCTCCGTGATTATTATACCAATAAATATCAATTGTTAGCAGGATGTCTGAAAGAGGTCAGAAGACAGAAAAAACCACCCTTACAAAAAGTGACTTACTAATGATGGTAGTAAAAAAAAAGTAAATAAAAAGAAGTAACATGCAAAATCACCTAACAGAACCGAATGAGAGAAATAAAGAAAGCAGTGGAAGCACCATGGATAAAATGAAGATGAGAGGTTGGGCTTCGAACCCGGCTGAGTGAGGTCCCCTTGTAAGCTGAACTGACTCATTTATTTCTTCCTATACTCTGAAGATTAGAGCGTCTGATCTTTGGCTAGCTGTGCGCAAGTTTGAAAATGAGGGTTTTTAAGATGCTCAACGTATCAAATGGCAATGATGGCTACGTAGCAAGAATTTTGAGTCATCTTGCTATCTATTTTTTTTAATTTGTAAAGCCAAGTCTTATTAAATCATTTGAAGAATAACATATTTAATTTGCTGTTAATTCTTGTAGGTGAATTATTTTCCAGATCTAGCTCGTTTTTAGATGCATCCACTAGGTACTGAAATAAAATCTAGCTCCTTCGGGGTTAAGATCTATCATCTCCTGGGATGGATGAAAGAAACGCTCAATATGCATAAACTTTTGTAATTATTGAGTCAAACTGTTCCAGTTTGGACTGTTGTCCTCATTATGGAGGGAAAAGTTTTTTTGGGGGGTAGGGGGGTGGTTCACAATCCCTAGGAGGCCAGGGAGGGAGTTCCCCCAAAATATCAACATTTTCATTGGGGGGGACCCCCACTTGTGACACATTGGTGCATGGCACTTCGAGTGTTTCTTTTTCCCATCCCAGTATGTCAAATGAAAGTCCATATGTGGGAAACTTCTCTGTAGTGTTCGGAAACAGCAAACTTTTTTGAAGATGCATCGGCATATTTTTGTCAAAAATTCTTAAAAGATCTAACAGGAAATACCTGTAGACAAAGCATCTGAATGTTTACGAAGATTGAGTTTAACCCAGGTAAGAATTAAAGATCCTGTGAGCGTTAGTAGAGAAATTATTCTTCTAAATGTTTCCAAACTGTATCACTGGAACTGCCATCGTAATACATATGTTTTCTTTCAGGAGCTGGGCGATATCAGAGCGTCTGGCATCAAGTCGTTTAGAGATATCCAAGTTGATGAAACAAACATGTTGTCTTGGCAAGGACTCATTGTTCCTGTGAGTATATTGCTCTCAATTTTTTGCACAACTTGATTTTTTTCTATGCTCCACTTCTTTCCTAAATTGAATTATTGCAATACTTAAAGTATCCTGAAAATGTCCATAATTTTCATCGTGAGTTTTAAAAAAGTGAAAGAGTAGATTCCTGATCAAGTTGAAATCCAGAAGAAGAAACGAGATGTATTATACCCTCCTGAAACTCCCTGTTAAGAGAAGAATTCAACCTCTATTTTCACTAATTATTTAATGATTTGTTTTCTCATTTTGCCTTTTTGAATATGTTAAAATAGAATTTATCTTAGCAGCAATGACTGTGAAAGTACTGTTTAAAGGAGGTTGTTCCAGAAATGACAATTTTTTCCTCCTCCAAAGAGAAACTAAGAGTCTTTATTGTATAGCAGAAATGCTTGGCCACCTGATATTCCTACGCTCACTTTCTAGCCAATCAGACACCCGACGATCATATTAGCATTCCGTACAGAAAATAACATGGGAAATCGAGACATTTTATATTATTTCGAATTCAGCCAATTTTGTGGGGTTAAGATGTCTGTGACTTCTCAAGGATTTGGCGTTAGTATTGATGGATAATACATTCCACTTTCTCCAAGAAACACCAAATGTCTTGATTTTTGACATTTCAATTTTCTTTCCCCTGGGTAGATGTTTCTGACTGTCCTGCTGGTCTTTACTAACGCAAGAAAAATGTAATTATAAACATGCTGGTTAATAAAGACCTCACGTTTATTTTAGCGGGTTGGCGTCGGGCATGTTGAATATTGCGTAGCATCCCAGGATGCAGGGGTCAGATGGAACGACTCCTCTTACGAAATGTTCACCCATGCCATAGTATTATTTAGAAGCAGGAAGCTTTAAAAAATGCATATTTCACACACAGACTGTGAAGCTAGGAGTGTATTTCAGACTTTCCCAATGCACTCATTGTGATTTTTGAGACATTTTCTACAGGCACAAACTCTTCTTGCTCCGGCAGAAGTTTGCAACAGGCCCAACCGTAATGAAACTTTGCTTGGATGTTGTACCAAGTGACCTGATCTCAAAAGAACAACTTGAGCAAAAATAATTACACAAGTAGGCTCGGTTTTCTGCCTTTCCTCATTTTTCGCTGCAAAAAATTGATTAGAAAAATACCTTTATGCCACCCAATCTGCTCAGCATTTTCTGCACCCCTGGTGAAAAGATCAAGCAGCAGGGTTCTTGAACTTTACTTTTTTGTGAACTTTCAAAGCTGAAAAATAATTTTCCTTTATCTTGAGATATTTTGCAATAACTGTACTTGATAATCAGTCATGATCTCATTATTATGGTCTCATTTTTTTCCAGGATAATCCTCCTTTCAACAAAGGTGCCTTCAGAATCGAGATAAATTTCCCAGCAGAGTATCCTTTCAAGCCTCCCAAAATAACTTTTAAAACCAAAATTTATCACCCTAATGTTGATGAAAAAGGTCAAGTCTGTTTATCTATTATAAGTCCCGAGCATTGGAAACCAACAACTAAAACGGATCAAGGTAATAATCATCCTAATTCTAAGTTACTTATGTAGCTTACTTTTACTAACTAATGAGCCATTGCTGATAATTAAAAGTACCTATGCTCATGCCATGCAGTCAAAGTGAGCTGAAAAGGCAGCAATGGAGTTATTTTCAATGTGCTCACTATCCCGGTGCTGCTCATTACTAGATAAAATTAATCGCAGGTAAGGTATTTATAAGCCACTTGGATGGTGATGTGTTAGCAATTGTATGTTTAACATGATATTAAAGTAAAATTCTTCAACCAAATAGAAAAAGCTCAACCAAAATCCTCTCTCCCGGGAGAGGTAAATGCACTCGTGATGGTTATCAGAAATTTATGTATTGAATGTCACTAGTATTGCACCCAGAAATGTATCTTTCACCCAAAACACGCTCAAATGAGCTCAATTTGAGTAATATTTAGTTTCTCACAAAATTTAATTCACTATGCTCAGTGCGCCATTCAGGTTTCAACTCCTTTTGGCCCTTAACAGTGTCGCATAAGCCAGATAATGAAGAATCAGGCACCCTGTATGGAGGTGTGCGCACAAATAACCTCATAATGAGGCTCTGCAGTTCATATTGTGTTATATATCTCAGTATGATCCCCTAATATTTTCACTTGATTTCCTGAAAATTGCAACTCCATATCAGCTTTTTCACCAAATCAAACTTTTTCTCAGACAGAATGTGTGGGCTGTGCGTTTGTTTGAATGAAACTATATCTCTACCCAGTGAATGTTTCACGGCCTATAGGCAACTTTTCTCAGTAAAAGGCGACCTATTTTTGGTTTCCCTTTAGATGCCTTCTCTTGTCTTCTACCTGTCATTGATCAGCGGATCATCTAACCCATGAAGCAGAAAAAAAAGAAAGAAAAAAAGCAGAAACCTAATATAAATGCTCAGAATCTGTTCCTTTAGAGTAACATGCTCATTGATTTTTTGCATATCTACCTTGTAGAAAATCTGATCTACATATACGACTTGCAGACAAGTGAGTGAGAATTGAGTATTGAGATTTCATTTTTCCTTCAAACAAGATCTTGAAAAATCTTAGAGAATAAATTACCAGGGAAACTAAAAGTGTATCAGAAAAAAAAGTTCCTGTAATCTGCATGAGCTGTGCTTGAAAAACTAAACCATCTGTGTGTCTGAGCAGTTTATGATACTTATAATTTGTATGATCTTTCGGACGAATTGGAGTATCTTCAGAAGTCGCTTACATGTGAAGAGGGTTCTCGGAATTGTGTGAATCAAAAGGAGGTAGAACTGTTAAGTTGAGAAATATTTTAATATGTAAAGTGCAATCATTACGAAACAACTTGGAATCATTTAAAAAATGCAAGTTCACTCATCCCTTAAAGTAGGTGTTTCACAGTGCTGCTACCATACTGATGATTCTTTGCTGTATGAGCACAGAAGCCAAAACTGAGTCTTTATCATCTGATTCATTTCACACTTCAGTTTTAAAATTTCTCTTTGTAACTTCTTTGCTTCAAGTAACTAAATGTTGATGGTGAAACTGCCAAAATGTGTATCCTAGTTTGCGGCGTTGCAGACTTCCTGTCAAACTTAATTCCTACATTGGAAACTTCTCAATGTCGTTTCTTGGAAACTTCAATGATTTTCTTCTCTATCTGAAGAATACTTGGTAAAAATTTCAAGCCATTATGGTACTTCGGTCCCTTTTTATAAATTAAAGTATGAGAGGAGAAAATGCTGCAACCAAGACATACATTTTTGCAATCTCACCATCGATGTGTCTGTTTACTATTCACTGGAAGATGCCTTCAAAAAAGTGAGATGTTGCTTATTTTTTAATTTTTTTTCCTTCATTCGTAAATTCTTTGCACCATGGCGTACCGAATGCGTCATGGAAGCAGAAAAAAATGGCATCCATCGATAAATAATGTGTTCATAAAGCCAGTAAGAATCTTCTCTATCCTCATGCATATCAAACTTTTTCTTGATTACAAGATTCATTGGTTTATTTTTTAATTTTACGAGGAAGTAAAACAAAAAGCATGAAGTACAATGTTCGTTGTATTTCATCTATCCAAAGCCACTTGCTATCCTCTCTTGGACAAAACCTCTAGTAATCCAAGAGGCCTATTTTTTACAAGTGATTAGAACTGAGGAAAGAAAAGAAGAGACAAAAGTCACATCAGTCTGGATGCATCAATCATCAGTTGGCCCATTGGTTAGCATGTAAATATCTGTTGAATGGTGCAATTTTTGGATGTGAAATTTGCCTCTTCTTTTCTTTCCTCAGTTCTAGGAGTTTTCTTCTTTTTTTTCTGGGGTGTGTCTTTAACTCTCACGAGTGTATCAAAATGAGCTCGCTCATATTGTATCGCCTCAGATTTTGAATCCTGACCCTCCAGTCGATGCAAATGATTAACAAGTTAATAAAAAATTATAAATAAAAGATGGGAAGGTACTTTAAGAGACACCCCATTTGCAAGTGATAGGAGTGACCTAGAAAAACAACATCACCCAGTAGTGAACTGCGCAAACTAGGGAACAAAATCTGCTACCAACTTACCTGATGCTAGTTTTACAGACATATCTAAAAATGAATACTTTTTCTAACGGAAATTCATATTGTTCTTTTTTGCAGTGATCCAAGCACTAATTGCTCTAGTAAATGATCCTGAGCCAGAGCATCCTTTACGCGTAGAAGTAGCTGATGAATTCGTCAAAGATAGGAAGAAATTTATTAAAAATGCAGAAGAATTCACAAAAAAGTACAGTGAAAAGAGACCTGCTGATTAATTTCTCCTCTGACCTTGGAAATTGTGATTCATCAAATTTTTTCATTTTCTTTTTTTCTTTCTTTTTTTTTTAATTCGATTATTTTTTGTTTTTCACCGTACTTTTTCTTGTAGGTTTTTTTCCTATCATTTTTTTTTTATCATTCATTATTAAATATTTCTTTTATTGCTTGTTAATGAGACAAAAAATTGAAAGGAAACAAGATAGAAAAACACCAAGTTGTAAATAGATGAAGTATTTTTGTGTGTTTTCTTCATTTCTGTAAAAAATATCCAAAACATTCATCCCTAATTCTAATTTTTCCTCAATTTTTATGTAGGAAAATTTTATTTCTCTTTAAGCATTTTTAAGGAATAGCAGAACTAAATATTGATCTTTTGTAGATTTTATTTTTCTTTCCTTCTTCTTTTCATTACTTCTTTTGCTTGATCAAGAGAGAGGTCTTAGCACTTGGAAGATAAATAATGGTTTACCAGTCGCAAAGTTAAATGTGATGCTCAAGTTCATTTCTGACCAGCTCCATAATTATTTTGCTTTACTCTAGGTGCAATTTTGCATTAGTCTTTGATAGATTTATCAGATTGAATTAATTGATCCGTACCCTGTTGACAGATGAGTGTAAATGAAGCTGGTTTTTTTAGATTTGTTAAATTTGTGATGTCTCTTCGAGCATAATCTTGTTGGCAGATTCATTAGTTCTTGATAATTGTTGACATCTGTTCTTGTGTTTATTTTAATTGAAACATGTGAAATCAATGAAAATGTTTTCATCTTCGACTGGCAAGAACAGATAATACATGTGCTATTTGACATCAATGGCTCACGACTTTATAGGTGCTCTCTATCTTACACATTGTTCCCTGATTATTTAAATGAAAATAAAAGTTGGTTTAAGAAATTCTGAAAAAAGGCGTAATTTTTCCATGATTGCTACTTCCACAAGATTTCACATAATACACTTGAACTGCCACCTGTTTCCGTAAATACATCTGGAAATATTTTTATTCTTATCATTTTATTTTACTCGTTAGTTTGCCCTTTTGAGGACAGCAGCCTTAGCATTGTGTATTTTTTGTTTCTTACCCAGTATTTCTTTCTTAAAGACGAATGAAGCAAGAGCGAAAGTCTCTGTGAGAGAATTATCTGCTCAATTATTGAGCCTCTTTCTCCTCATCAAGGGAGATTCTGTTTCGAACAAAGTGCACAAAACTTTGGTGCTGCCTCAATGACAGCCAAGTTGTATCCGCTCAATCGATGCATTGTTTCTCTCTTCTTTTTGTCTCCACTTGTATAAGAGCTATCTTTTGCCATTTTATCACAGAATACCTGAAAAAAAACCTAACAGAGATGACGAACCCTTCATGGATTTGCAATTTGATGAAACTTATTTATAATGCATTCTGTATTATTCTGAACAAACGCCTCAATGGGTACTCAAAGATTCCATTTGCCAAGTTGGAAAAATTTGCCATTGAACAATAATAAAAATCAGTATAGGCAAAATCATGCAGTTCTGTAGCATGAAGAGATATCTTCACCCACCACATGGATAACCTAATTAATTTTGTGTAACTACGAGATAAAAATTTTCACCTTTCCATTTGTCATTATGTATTCAGAAACTCCTAGGTATTTTCCCTTTTTGTTTGAAATAATCAATCAATTGATTAGGTTCCCCTCGCTTTTCTCTTGCGCATTAAATAATCCAATTTTTGCAAATATTCAGAAGCAAATGTCTTTAAAACGGCATATGGAATCTTCGAGAGTCCATCTGTACCTTTCCTCTTGATAGTTCAAAGAGTATTTCAGCTCCATCAAATTCAACCGAAAAACTATTACAGTCACTAGTTTGCCACCTCTTTTAAAGTTCACAACAAAAAAAAACTGAAGTTAAGAGTTAGGCTCATTTATTTGTTTATTTTTCCTAAACAAATGCAGCTCTGTAAAAAGTCTTTTTCTTGCTGTCAGGTTGTTTATAAAAAGCCTTAACTGAATTCAAACATTGAAATTTAGTCAAAGATTTTCTCTTTACACAAAGTCTTAGTTTTTAACATTCTTTCCATCTGTAGATTTCGTTATTCTTTACAATCGATTAATTTGGTCGTTATTGATGTGTATCATACCTCTAAAGTGGAAATAATTAAGTTGAGCTTTGTTAACCATTGATACTTTTTACACATTTTTGAACATTAATTCAACATTCTTACTCAGTTTTTAAATTTTTTTTGGTCTCTCAGCTTAAAAAGAAAAATTACTCTAGTATCATAGACTCAGTATTCCAAGAAAAGTAGCCGCATCATAAGTGCCATCAAGATTTAGAAAAGAAAGAATGCACTTGAACAGTAAAATTTTAGGATTTGTTTCTTTCAAGAGTGAGTATTTGCTGAGACTTGATGAGAATCGCTCTTACTCTAAGTTAAAAACTATAAACTTGTTTGCACCTGTTTTCGTCATTGCAAAACTTCTCACAGGAAAATCATCTTTTGATTTCCTATCACAATAAGACTTGAATCAGTGTGGTTAATTTCCTAGGTCAAGTAACTGTCAACAATCAACTCACCCTGCACGTGTGAAACATCATTTTTGACATGTCTGTTAAAACTGAAACACTGAACTGGACAAGTTTTTGTGTTGTTCTTTTTGGTTGCATTTAATAATCTTAGCTAAGAAAATTTTAATTATTAATTGTGTTGGTCGTTTTAACTTGTTAATATTCTCAGTGTTTCCTTCTATTTCATATTAAATGGTACCTACTGATGCAAACATCATGTTAGTAAGCATCCTTCTTTATGTAATTTGTATTAGTTTGTAATTACAAGGCAGGTTAGATGTTCTTAGCAGTACTAACATGACAAATGTACTCCTTAACGTCAGCCCCTCTTTTTATTTGATTTCATCCACTTGAATCGATCCTGTTCACCAAGAAGTTAATGAAGAATAAATATTTTCAGAAAAAGATATCTTACCAGTTGGCGTTGTGTCAATTTTTCTTTAAACATAACCATCAAAAAAGGCAGCTCCTTATCTATAAATGTCATTTGAGTTTTTCTTTTACAGCAACCAATGATAAATGTAGATCCTCTCCTCTTTAAATAATGTGATAAGTTTCTAGTCCCTGAATTTTTAAAAGCAGGTAGGTAGATTTGAAAAAAGAAGAAAAAAACTGAAATCATTAAAGCAAAACTGATCTGAAAAACAAGTCACGAACTGGAAGTTGGTGAAGAGAGTATTAATAAGGGGTCTGCAGCATCAGTAAAGGCTGGTTCCACAAAAGCAGAAACAGTTGAAGTGCGCAACTCCTTAGAAATCAACACTACATTGAGAAATTAGTGTAACTCGCCTCAAAATCATTGGTTTCTTCAAAAATAATGTTTTGTTCATAAAAAAGTCAATTTCAGCGTTAAGTCTGTTCTTCCAAAGAGACTTCAGCAGCCCTACCACAGACTTTGACTTCCATCGATATTAATAGAACTTAGTTCCATTCCAATGGAATACCCCATTGGAATGGAACTGTGTTCTATCAATATCGATGGAAGTCAAAGTCTGTGGTTGGGCTGCAGAGAACTATTGATAGTATTTTCGTAAAGTACTCCTTGCATCACAATTTCATAGGTACAATAATAATTGAAGTATGATGCTTTTTTGCATGAATAAAGTCAATGATATCATTTCTTTTGATTCATCACCTCAATTGTTAAATGCTTTTCTGAAAGTTGCTTCTAACCACCAGCGAAATCAATCTTAAAATAGTATTCGTATCGGAGAGTGTGGGGCTCTCAATGTTCTCATTATTTAATTACCTCTGTTATTTCGAGTCTTTTTTTTTTTTTTTTTTTTTTTTTTTTTTTTTTAATATTACCGATCTTGTCGCCCCCTTTTTTCAGAGGAATATTTGCTGTCAGAACCAACAAAAATGTGAACTTTTACCACAGTAAATTAACTGAACGAAAAATTAATAAATAACAACTAAGTAAATAGTTCATTTAAAACTTAAAAATTACTGATACCTACTGCAAAAAATCTCCTGGGACATTTTGCTTATTTCCTAAGGATGGCCTAGCCCACCGTCATCATTGCTCACAATTTTGTATGAATTTTGTTGCTCTCTCGAGGAAATTTTGAAAAATTTCCTGTGAAAATTTTTGGTAGTACATCTACATATCACTTTAAAAATATGAAGGAGTGGAATTTTGAAACATTTTCCAAATACCCATGAGTTTTCGCAATTCACTTCAGAGCCGTTTTCATGGATGGGACCTGTTAGCAGCTCTGCGTTAAATATCCGACCGATTTCAGTTCCATTAACCTGCAATAAATATTTAAAACAAAAAAAAAATTAATAATAATTTTGATAGGTACATAGCTCAGATGCTCCTCGCAATCGCTATCTGCTACATATTCGAAAAAAATTGAAAATTAGCGGCAAAGATTAGCAGTAATCATCATCCAATCAGAGGCCATCTTTCGTTGTTTGTTTTTATCAATTTTGTAGGTTAGGTTATAGTTTGGTTATAGTTATGGTTTAACTTGAATTGCATTTTGCATTTTTCTCAATTTCTTGAGCGTCTTTCCATGTCTTTTCTCGACAGAAATAACTGATTTTTTTTTAACTGCGGACACAGTTTTTTATTCTTATCCCCTCACATCGGTAGGCGCTGTAAGACTTATCAAATTTAGCACTCATGATTTTTTAAGACCACTCAATTTCTCATCTGGCTGTGTTTTGCCGTGTTGAAGTCAATTTGCCTCCAAATGAAATTACCTTGCACTGCTTCAGCAACCATGGACAGCAGTTTTCAGCTTCCTTTTGATATCTCTGAGTAAGTAAACTTATTTTTAAAAATCTGGAGAATGAATGAGCAAGGTGACTTCCAGAAAAATTGTTCAATGAACCGCCTATCGTCAATTGATCAATGAAGTTTTTTCAACCAATCTTCAGACAGTATTCTCGGGTCAATTAACTTCAAAATTTCATCTAATTCTTTCAAGACATTCAAAGTTATAATTAATCAGACTATCAAGAAATCTGTTCCAACATGTGTTTCTGAGTCCTGCGTGGAAACTCATGCGCTAAGCTTCGGATATGAAGGCCTTAAGTAAAATACTGGATCTATAATGTAGAACAGGCAGCTAACTGCATTTATTGGGAAGAGTGTCAGGTGTATAGGATGTGGCTCTATGGACCGTTGTAAGAAAATATTGGTTTAAGTAGTTAGATACGCTGGAAAAATCATAGACTACCTAGAGTTGTAATGTAAATAGGAGAGCTGGCGCCACTTTTAAGCATTTTCTAGGTCCCAAATTCTGAGACTCTTGTGTCACGCAGGGTCACATTTTCGATACACGGGGACCCAGCCATCTGATGTAAACAAAGAGGACGGAAATAACTATGTATTTTACATCGCCAGGAACTGTTTGACCAGATGGGTGCCAGCTCTACCATTTACATTACGATTCTATTTACTCTACGGGAAAATGAGGGACCAGCCAAAATTCGTATGGTTAGACCCGTGGCATGCGGTGCAGATAAGCAAGGCAAGCCCTGCTTGCCCAAAGATTTCAGAAGAAAGAAGAAAATTATACCCTTTGTTTGTTTTAAATTTGTTTATATTAATGACAAAAGGTGTAAAGTAAGCATATAGCAAGTAAGTCCAATTCACCTAGTGGCATCAAAAGCCCCTAGTTTATATACTTTCTGCCCAAATTATGGTACAATTTCCACAAAAAAATCGGTTTTTAAGCCTTCACATGTATCCGTAGACCTATTTGAGGGATGAGTTATCGTATCAAATGACTTTTTTGCTGAAAAGTCTCAATCACTGACCTTTCTTGTAAGAGTTGCACAAAATAAAACCAAAAGTGGTCAGAGTGTCCATGACCTTTACAAGGATTTTTTTCATCAATTGGTCCTTTGATCCTGTAATTTTTGCAGGTCTGTATTTTTCCAAATGGGAAAGCCTATTAAGATAGCAGGAAGGCTGAGAACTTTCTGCGCACTCGTCCCATTCTTTGTTTCCCACCATATGGGTTCAATAACTGAATTTTTTGGTATCTTTTTATGTTTAAATTAACTGTGCTGTAAGTTTATAATTTCTTTTTTTTTTTTTTGCAGTAAGTTATTTGACGGTCTTACAAATGATGTGGTCATTGTATCTGTCATTGGAAAATCCGCTCTTGGCTCTTCAACTAAGGTTAACTCTCTCTATGACACTCTTGGCTCTCGCATCTTTACAAAAATTGATTTCTCTAATTTTCAATCTGACAAAGATATAATGGTAAGCTGTGAAGAAATACTCTTTTTACTTATTTTTTCATTGAAGATGGAAATTGCTGTCATCAAAAATTGAAGATGACAAATTATGACCAAGCAAAGATCCCCTTAAGAATTTAATTTTCTAATCACAGCGGTGCAGGATCTTATAATTTTTAAGGATTGCCGGAGATAACTGCCGCTTTTATCCACAACCTAAGGTAATTGAGGGGCTTGAAGGACATGGTGCTTAAGTGCAGTTTTTGCTATTTCGAGAAATACGCGTTTTAAGTCTTAAAATTACATGGAGAGGAAAGAAAGTTCGAACTCACTTTTTCATGCTTTAAAGTTGGAATTTGGAAGTGAATTTTTTACAGAATATATTTCAAGTCTAGTTTTAGTTGAAATCATTAATATCTCAATTTTTTCAAAAACTGCACCTATGTGCCTTTTCCTCCCCCTCAATTGGGCTTTGAACCTGTTAAAATTTGTGGTTCTCACACATTTAGAGTGTCTTCGTCAGGCTGGATTATTTTGCCTACTAACTCAGCCTCAAATTGGTTTCCAATTGCATCCCTTCGGGATCTGTGTTCAAAATGTTCATATCTCATGAAGGCTGTAGATGCTAAAATTTTGATCAACTGAGAAAGTTCATTGGGTGTCCTAAAAGTCTTATCATTGATCTTCCTGAGGGAAAAAAATGAAGCTATTAAAATATGAGTTACACAAGTTTGAAGATCATCTCATTAGCTTTCTAGCGCAATCCTTTGGAGCTCCTTATGTAAGCAGTCCTTCTTCTATTTCATTCAGATCATCATTTATTGGTCAGCCAAAGTGTCTGTGCAAGCATATTTTAATCTCTTCAATTTCCTCGCCTCTCTCACTCCCTCTAACAGAATTTTTTCATCCTTCATTTTTGACTGGTGAAATGGGAAATACCAGTGAAGTATAACAATTGAAGATGGAGCAAGAGTTCTTTGACACCAAATGACCACTAAATGAGAAACGATTTCCTCCTCAAAATTCCATGCAGAACATGATAAGCATGAAGAAAAGGTTTTTAATACGTAAAATCAAACCTCCTGCTTATTAAAGAACAAAAGTCTACATGAGTCCAGGGGTGCAGAAAATGTGACAGCCCAGAATGTTCTGCACCCCTGCACGAGTCAAATTCCACACTAAATGTTACCGTAGCAGTCTCTGTGGTATAAAATTATGACAGCCTTCATCTTGGTGCTTTGGTTTAGCTGTTCCATGTTGTTAACTCTTTGAACAAGGCAAGGAAGGGAAGAAACATTGCTCGATTAAGAGACCAAAACCATTGTAGTGCGAGATAAGGGACTAGTGTAAACTGGTAACAATTTCACTGTTCATCTTATCTATTTCCCTCCAAAATGTAAATGAATCGTTATGAAAGGATGTCAAAATTAATATTTATCCTCAATTCTTGTTTCAGTGTTGCATAGACGGATTCTATGATTCTGAACTGCAGACTATTTTTTTGCAACTTTGTGGAAGCCTAGATGCTGACTATTTGATTTCCAGTTACCAAAAATTAGGAGCTGACTTGGAAGAGAAGGTATATTTTTAGTTTTATTTATGCGCTTTAATGTTCAAAATTGTTGTCAGAAGCAAAAGTATAGTTTGGTTTTGTTTGGTACCCAGTGACTTCAAGAAATGACATGCAAAATAATCACTAAATATCAATTGACCCTTCAGTGTTTCTGTATGAAAAAATTCCTCATGACCTTGTGAACGCTCTCAACTGAAGCCCTTTTTTTTCCTTTCAATTTTACTCAATTGGACGTATTTCTGTCAAACAGAACTAAGTGCCATGGAAAAGCATTGCGAGTATAGGACGGAATGAGCCCGACGCCCGGTTCCGCAGCCAATCCAAGCCCCCCTCTACTTTCCTCCCCCTATGGCGCTCAGTTCCGTTTGACAGAAATACGTCCAATTGTAAAATCGCGCCCCTTCCTTTTTTCAGTTCTGGTTTTTCCAAATAAAATAATACTTCCCTCTTTTATGTAGGTTCTCTTATGATGAATGTATTATTCATGTGTGACAGGGTTTTTTCCATGTTTGGGCTACGTTGGAGCATCGATATACAAGAGCATTGCTGTTCCTGTTTTCTGTTTCACACATTATCATCTTATCTCATCCAGGAGCTGTCTTTGATTCAAATTATATTAATCTATTCAAAGTCCTTGATGCTGTACGGTAAGCATAGTCTCCTATTAATATCATCAAAGGTTTTTAGGAAATTTCAATTTCCTTCAGAGTGTCCGTCAGATGTATTTGAATTACCTATATATTTGTGATTTATGATCCAAGATTTGTGCTCTTCACAAGGTCCCAGGTTCAAGTCCTGACACCACTGGAGAATGCGATTGTATACTTTCTTTGGAAAATACACACAAAAAAAAAGAAATACATGTAAACCATTTAAAAAAGTCCTTTTGTTCAATGCAAAAATTAGGAAAGGAAGATTAATGTTGAAAAGTAAGTTTGAATGGTCTTCATTTCAGAGAAAATGGTGGCAGTGGAGCACAGAAATGCATACACAAGATGACTTTTTGCTTCTCCTCAATTTTCATCAAAAAGTTGTTATATAAATAGCAATTTGGCATTTTTATTGTTTGTTTGCTGGTTAAGGACATCATTTCTTTCCCTTGTTCTTACTCCCTCTTTTTTATCAACTCAATTTTGAAACAAATTTAATTTTCAGTGTTAAATTGAAGAGTTCTCTATCTGAAGTTCTCAAATCAGTTGGTGGTTTAAACCCTCTTTGGATTTCTTCCGGCCGCCTTTGCTCTCCCAGGGTTCTCTTTTATTTTCAAGACTGTCCCGAAATATTTCGAAAAACTTCAAGGTGAGCAATCAAAATTCTCATTTCATCAGTTGCTTCATGTTGGTTTCTAGCTTCAACCAGTAAAATCGAACTGTTAATGAAAACTAGAGGTTAATGTATTTCGACGGTGTAAGTCGGCAATCACATCACTCGGTTTGCGACGTCGCAGACTTCCTGTCATACTTTATTTTTTAAATAGAAAACTACTCAACGGCAGTTTTTCAAAACTGTCATGATTTTTCTTCTCAATTCGAAGAAAATTCTGCGAAAACTTCAAGAAATAATGTCAATTTGTTCTCCTTTAAAAAAATGACGTACAGGCGGAGATTTTCAGACACCGCAAACGAGTTATGTGATTGCCGGCTTTCACCGTCGATTTAGACCAAAAAATGGTGTTAAATCAGGATCATCATTTTGTGAACTCTTATCTCCCTATTAAAAAGAGCTATCTTATAACTGCTTGATGGCATGAAAAAATGATAACATTTAAGCGTATTTCTACCAAACAGAACTATGCGCAGGTGGGGAAGATGGGGTGTGCTTTTTAATCAAGGGCTGTAAGAATGAATGGGAATTGTATATCATTAATAAGGGCAGCGGCGACAACCTGGGCACATGCCCACGGCTACAGAGTCTTTTATACAGTTGGCACGTAGTTCCGTTTGCTGAATTGGAAAAGCGAGATTTTACACTCTGCCGAACGGAACTATGTGTCAACTAAATGCGACACTCATGAGTTGTGAGCATGTGACAAGAGAGTCTCCGTTGTTGCTTTATAATTCCCATTCATTCTTATGGCCATCAAACAACGAGTACACCTCATCTTTCCCCCTGCACATAGTTCTGTTCGGTAGAAATACCTTCAATACGTTCACTAATTTAAAGGAAATGAGGCAATATTTTGGCCATTTTCCCCAGAACGTGCCATTCTACATGTTTTAACACAAACACAAAGTTTATCACAATTTGTGGTCACCTGTCAGAAAAATAAAAATGAGAGCATTTTATTTTCAAAGTTGGATGAAAGTGTTGTTCACAGTGGATTCTAATAGAACATTTTACCCATAGGGTTGCATACCATGTAGGACTTTGTGCTTTTTTTCCAGCACCATGTATGATATTATTATATCCTCGAATTCCATTAAACCATCCTCACAACTGTATCTGAATGATTTCAGGGTTCCAAACTACAAAGGTCTATACATAAAGAAATTTGAGCATGCACTTGAAGACCAAATTTACAGAATTTTACGGAAAAGCCGCGTCATTACAAATTACAGGTACATTAAAACTGATTGCTTTGATCTTTTTACGTACATATTGAAGCCCAGCCCAGGATGAGCTTTGGCCTTCAAGACTATGCCGCTTCACACTGTTCTGTCTATGGTCTGTCGATTTATACCTGCGTTTCCTGGGCACCGCGGCTTCGTCCTGGTTTTTGTAGCACGGATGTGTTTATGTGGTAGGGTTGCTAGCCGTATCCACAACCACCTCCTTTTCCTCGGCTTGGGACCAGCGAGAGAGGAAGAGCTCACCCCTAGGCAGAGTTAATTGATTTAATCATTTTAATATACCATCATTTAAATTGAATTAATAAATAAATTATCATTACCATACATGATATTATCATATTACAACTCTTAGCACGCACAAAATTCGCAGAAAATTTGTGCCAGGAATTCCTCCCCCTGTACAATGCGCCGCACAAGCCCACCGACCGCTCACCACAGCGGTAGCCTCCCTCCCCCTCCCGGCGCCGCGACGCCCATCCTTCGCTGGCAGCAGGGCATATTGTTACAGGTTCATATTATCTATATTATTCTTGACTTAGTTTAACTCTATGCACTAGCATAAGTTGGGAGGGTTCATACCCTGATACAGGGGTAAAAAATTCTAATTATGAAGGCTGTCTTTTGGTTTGGTGACTGGTGTGTTTTGGATTAATATCCTCTTTAGAGGTGACTAGTCACAGCCTAAGTTATTTACTTGTGATTTATGAGAAATCGAGACAGGGTAAGTGTTTCAGAGACGCTTGCCCAGAGGTTTCTTTCCTGAGGTGATGTGAAATTATTAGTACGTAACAAATATCAATGACTTGACTTGCTATCAGTTAAGACAGCCTACATTTTTAAACTGTACAAAGCGCAGTTTTTTTTATAATACTCTAAATAAGTGCAATTTTTTCATACTTCTATGTTTCATTTGCATTCTTTTACAGTGCGAATTCCCTTTTCGCAATCCCTCCAAACCAAGAATTTGTGTACGTTCAAACGGACATCAAACCATCCCATGACTGGTCTTCTTATATAGTCAATTACATCACAGATTATTGTGATTCAAGGAAGCAAGACACAAAATTCCTGCCTCCAGCCGTCGAATCCAATCACTGCAGTTTTGGCTTTGAAAGTCTTCCAAATTATGAAAATTCCGATGCAGGTAAGATAAATTGAATGTAACGATCAATCCTTAATTTTCTTATTTTTTTTTTATCACTACCTATCAGCTGAATACAACTGCCCTTAAAGCTCTATTCATTGTCATCTAATGTAGATTGCTCTGACTTCTTAGACTTGCCTAGCTTGGAGGGGGTTAGTCTATTTGTTAAGTTTTTGCTTGATAGGTGGAGATTGTGTTGTTTCTACTAAATCTGTTTGCTCAATGATAAATTGGACCGAGTTTAACAGAAAGGAACCAAACCACATCAGCGATTGCCAAGTTTAACTGGGCAATTATATTTTTTACGAGAGAACGGTTGTTCGGATTCCTTTGAACATTTTAAGGAATTTGTTTCGCACCACGGAGAATTTTCACTGAAATTTGCACGAAAATCCACACAACCGTTTTCATGTAAAAAATTAAATTGCCCAATTAAATTTGGCAATAGCTGATGTGGCTTGGTTCCTTTCTGTTTAACGCGGTCCAATTGGAGACAAGGAGTTCTGCTGTCTAAGACAAGAAATCTGTAACTTTATTCGAGGTTTTCAGTTTTTTTCTGATGAAATATGTTTAATTTCATGCAACTAGGGAATATTTAAGATAAAATATTTTAAAGATGAACTGGAACAGAGCGATATCTACAAAAATGTAGCTCTGTGTATATAGGACAAACGGGCAGAAATATTAATACAAGGACCAAGGTGCACTAAACTATGCCAAGAACAAGGAGTACGGTCACTTATCTCTGTCTGACCGTTTAGTTGATTTGAAACACCCCCCTGAAAAATATGAAATAAAGGTGATGAGAAGATGCCAAAAGGGTAAAAAAATGAACGTTTGTGAACAACTTGAATTAGACAGGTTCGAAACCAAAGCCATCCTCGGTTCTCAGACAGAAAGCATCATAACAACCGTAATTACCCCTCCCACCTTGATGAACTAGTACAAGATGATAGAGAGTGAGGAGGAAAGACACATCAACAAATACCAGGGTTATCAGTCACATCGCGATAGCTGATGCGGAAACCAAACAGTAACTTCTTGCAATTGCGGAAGCGTATTATAATTTTAGTTTTTTATAATTTTTAGACGCCTTACCATGAGCGGTTGCTCAAAACGGCTATAGGTAGTAGAAAAGTAAAAGCATCAAAATGTGGAAAAATCGGTAAGGAAAAGGTTTCTTAACATCTTGATAAATATGACTGATAAAGTTAATAAAAGAAGTGATAAGAAATATTTACCCTTGATGAGATAGTGTTGTCTCTGCAGGCTGATTATTGAAAGATTAAAGCAGCCCGATTAGATATCGAATTGCAACATATTTCATGGTTAAAATAGAGCTATGTCTTGTCTTGTCAGGCCGACATAGTTTCAATAATTGGGCCGCTGCAAAGACTGCTTGCGCAACCATGAATGATATACTAGTAGCTCTACTAAGCAAAAACGCCGCAAGTTTATTCTAGATTTTTACTTTTTTCCGGATTTTTTTCTTATGAAATATTTAGCACCAAGGAAACCAGAGTACCTACATTTATCCCTGATTTTTGCAGTATGACAATGCCATAATATCTGGAACTCCCCCTAAAGATATGTACAAACCAGGTTATCACGGTCCGGCCAAAGCATCACAAGTGCCATCGTTGATAAATTGGAACGTAGAGTGACTTGATGAGGCTCAGAACTTTTCAGTTTTAAATTAAAAATTAAAAATTCAGCTGTCAAGTATTATAATTTCCAACTCACTGAAAAACAATTATCGTTTCTTGTTTTATTTAAATTTCCTAGAGAAATGAAAACCATTTATCAGAAACAGCATTATGTCTCAAAACAGAGTATCTTAATCACCAATGAAGAAACTTAACTCGACTTTTTTCCGCAAGTTTTATCCAAATCAGATGATGAGAATAATTCTGAACAGGTATTCAACATTTCAGGTCTGTCGTTTTTATAACAGCTGTGATTAATTTTTTCCGTTTAGAGTATTTTGCTGTGAAAGAGGAAAATTTGGAATGGAATGAAATCATTCTTGCCTTGAAACGCAGAACTTGTATACCTTGTACTCTCTGAAATACGTATATGAGGATGATCTCAAAAAAAAGTTTCCTTTAGCTGTATTGCTTATTGTTTTAGTTTCACAGCATCTTACTGTCACTGTCTCTTCAATGTTTCTTTTTATGAAGTTTTTGTATTTCTCTTGTGCCACACTTGTATGCACTTACAGTAGTTTTATCTTCTTAAGAGGTGAAACCAATTCAGCCAACTGACTTAAAGTTATATTTTTTATGTTGATTCTGTTTCCAGAGCATAACATTTTAGAGTTTCTTACCCAGCACGTCAATCAAGCGTTGCACGAAGGTTTCGATGATAATGTAGGCCGTTATCCTTCATACCCTAGTCAAAACCAATTTGTTGTAAGTGCAGTATCCATTATCAACGTTTACCTTTTTTTTTCCAGGTACTTATAATACCTTAAAATATTTTAAAAACGTGTCTCAAAGTCAAAGTTAAAACAGTCACGGCACTTCTAACTTCGGTCAGACAGGAGGAAAAACTTGACCTGAGTTTGCATTAGATGCTCGCAACTGACAGCATTCCTCTTCTGTGGTTATTTTGCCTTAAAAGCACCTTGTCACTGAAATGTTGAATTAGTACTTAAATTTTAGCCGAAGTATTACTTTATTAATTCTATTGCATTTTATTGTTATTTTTAATATCGTTGTTTCCTAATAATCCACTAGACCCAAGGAAAGAATCTCTGAAATTGAAGATATTGCAATCAAAGAAAATTAGAGTAATCTACAAATAATGATCTACTATTTGCTTGCAAATATTTTTTTTTTCTAGCTCCCAACTGTAAAACTGTGGTTCCAAGCTGCCAATAAATTGCACACTTTTCTCATTGGTAAAGATGAAAAAAGTGCTGGTGTCTTGAAATTAGACCAGTCAATCACTGGCTTGTTTGAGCTTTTAGATACTGATGTGAAATTTAGTGAAGCACGGTGCAGCAAAGTTCTTCCACTAGCCTTGGCAACGTATCAAGAAGGTCTCCCTCTTCATTACACACGAGATTATCATGAAAGCAGGGTATATACTTTTCTTTTATTATGCTTTAATACGAAATTATTTAATATGAACAATCAAAGGGCTGTGTCACTGAGATTGAATTTGAGTCAAGCTTTGAGGACCACAATAACCCTTTTAGGAGCCTAAATTGTAATAGACTTCAATTTGGTTTGATATTTTTGCAGTAACCAAGCACAGTCGTGATACATAAACTTTTTTTTTATAATTGTGACCGGAAAGCAAATAAACAAATGAAAAGTTACCCTGCAGCCAATTCTTCTCGTAACATCACAAAATCTGTTGCTGTGATATTCTTCCATTTTGAATGGGATCGAATTTTTGGCGATTTTGAAAGATTAACTGGTATTATATCAAATAAAAAAAAGGAAAAATGCAGAAATTCCCAGTATGGACGTAATTTCCGAAAATGAATTAAAAGAAAAAGATGTGCACTGTCATTCTTAACTATACTGCTGAGCCTGCATGAGCCTTTAGCCATATGAACTTTCAGATACTGTCAACTTTCCTCTCTTAAAATATGAATTTTCAGGGAAACCTGTGAGTATTTTTCCTCAAATTTTTCAGAGATGTTTATTTGCAATCTGGTTTAATTCATCTAAAAATTTCAAGAGAAATTATTCATGAATCTCCTTGAAAATAAGCATTTCACTGGAGGAAATTCGGTAGCTCCCGACTGTTCATACAGCGTTTCTCTTAGCATATCAGCATTCCTCACCGAAACTACCACTGAGCTTATGGTTTCTTTTCAGAATAGGAGAACATCAATAAATATTAGATAGGGTGGGAGATATGTCAAAAAATTCTGGCAATATATGACAACAGAGTGGAATCTAAAGAGGCATAGGGAAAAAACAGGAGGTGTTTGTATCTTGAGGATTGTTTACCGTGTGACGTAGGTCGGTACAACCTGGTCAGCAAAATCCGGAATTCGAAGTACAAAAAACGGACCATAAAGTCCGATTTTTTTGCTTAAATCATCTCATGATATAATTTCAAACACTTTATGTAAAATGATTTTTTTCCATTAATCACATAATTTCCAAGAAAATCGATCATAAAAGTTGCCGCACTGGCCTACGTCATCAAAAAAGTCCAAGATGCCCGAAATGCAAAAACCTCCTTTTTTTCCTCTACGCTAAAGAGGGGTTGCTGATAGCTGAAGGACTGTAAGAATAGAACTTTTATATAGAGTTGTGTTTGAATCACATGTGAATTCCAGAGTTTTCTTTGGAATGATCTGTGACAAGACAGTGGCGAGGCATGAATGATTATAATCGATATTGCCCCATTTGAAGCTACACTGAAAGATGGATTATTAAGATGTTCGAGCACCCTGTTTATCGATCCTTTTTCACAAGTGCGCAACCATCGCAGAGCGCGTCACGACACTGGTGACAGTGATGGTGAAGATGCATCTAACACATAGTTCCTCTTGTTCTATAGGAGGACAAATGAATTAGTAATTAGAGCCCCAAGTCTAGGAATCCTAAATTATTTCCGTGATTTGTTGTTTTGTTCTTGGCTCAGGTTGCTCATGCGATTTCAGTGTTTGGGATCCATGCCCGTGGACCGCTCCTAGATACTTATGTGATCAAGCTTGAAAATGAATGCGATAGGTTTTGGAGGAATGGAAGACAGATGTGTGAAGTTTTGAGTTTGACTGGCAATCCTTGCATGAATCCCTTGCACAAAGGAGGTCTCACTGATGCTTTTATACCGGAATCTGAACCCAGGTGAGAGTTCTCCTACTTGTTTTACAATATTTTGTGGGAGGTCCTAAAAGAATAATTTTTTGTCAAGCTAAAGTATAAATGCTAGTTCACATACCAATGGTAGTATACATACGTCCTTTTATCTTCTTAAACCGTTTGTTTATGTTTGCACAGCAATCAGTCGGCAGCAGATTTACCAATGATGGATCATGCAAGTGGGGTTGTTTACATGTCAACGTGTAACTGTGGGCGAAGGCAGGGAGCTCGCGAGGACCCATTTACTCTTCGCTCAGCAAACTATGAGTTTTATCAACTTCTTGCATTAGAGTGTACATGTCTCGCCCTTGATCGATTTGATTTCCCCGTTTTTCAGCCCAGCACTAAAGACTATAGGTAAGTGTAAGTTTCTGTGAAATAGTTTATTTTACTTCTTCGCCTCTCGTTTTTGCTACTTTCTTCATCTCAGCTCAATTTATTTTGTTTCTTCTGTATATTTGATGCCCCTTGGAATGTGTATTGGTCTCGAAACATTGTAATTGAGATTTATTGTCATTTGAAGCTAAATGAAATGAATTGAAGTTTCATAGGTCAGGTGGTTTTTATATCTTCAAATAAAGATTTTAAAATATCTTTTAAAAAAAAAAAAAAAAAACCTCATGAAGCTCCTGAATGAGTCTTTAATTCCAATCATTGTTGTTTCATTTGATTTCTCTAGGTTATGGGATTTGTCTACAACATATTCGTAAAAGATATCCATTGAACTACTCCTTTCCAAAGCTGCCAGGTTGTGTGGTAAAATTTGGACATTTTACAAGGGTTTAAATGAGGGAAACATGCTTCAGCACTATCTGAGGACAGTGCGTTGTTTTCCACTCGAAAAGTACTAATTGCTAAGCCCAAACAGTTAGCATCATTGAGTTACAAATGAATGATTACATGGGAGTTGGTGTAAAGGGCCAGAGTCACTAGATTTCTGCAACTTAAGTGTTTTTTAATAGTATAATGTCCTTTTTAACGCAGATAATTCGTTTTAGCACAGGGGTAGCTTTGACTGTGAGCTGTCGCAAATGAACATTTTACAGCACATTTTAGTGATTCATAGGCGTTGATTTTTCCTGGCACCTAAAAGGAAATTTCACATATTTATTTAATCATTCTTCATTCCATTCCCTTCGATGCTTTTAAAATCACCAGCGCAAAGCCATATCCAACAAATTACCCAGCACCCAAAATCTGGTTATTTTTTACTTGTTATTTCATTATTTTTTCTTGGTAATTTTAGAGCTGCACAACTTTTCACAAACAATTCTCAATCACAGAGTCAGAAAGAAAGCAGCGGCAGCAGCAGCAGCAAGGGGAATAAAGAGCCCGCGACTAGTACTCAACTTCAGTCAAATACTCAAGATCTGAGCTTAGGTAAGAATTCTTTCATTTCTTGTATGATTTTGAAGTGAGTGACTTTCTTTATAGGATTTTCTTAGTCTATCACAAGAATTTAATTTTCGACATCATCCTGGTTTACGTAAATGATTGGAACTTTCAATTTTTTACAGTAGTGTTTGGTCATAACGGAATCTACATGATCGACGAAAACGTCGCTAACATCACAAGTTCTTTCGTCCCATTATATTTTAATGAGACAAAACAGAGAACCTTATTCAAATGTACTAAAAATTGGTTTGCCAAATTGTGTGCCATCTTTCTTTTATTTTGTGTGGAATCTTCCTCTAAAATTTTATATGGTAAACTTTTTGTCGCTGTTTCCTTAAATGCTACAGCCCATGACCAAAATCAGTCCCACCTTGTATTTCTTTAACTCCAGAGCTTTTGAAAGTAGAAGGTCTGTACTCAATAAATTAATTAGTTTCAGCCGGTCTTGAATGCCCTCTGCGAGATGTATTGCTTTTAACATAGGTCGAAGAGCTGAATATTACAATTGTTCATGTGTTTCGAGTTTAATGCCGTTTTGCTGGCATAGTGTGAATTGGGTTTGGAAGAGAATGCCAGTAGCTCAATCTTTAAATTAAAATTAGCGCAAGTGAGAGCGCAAAATTTCTCTTTTTTACAAGCTCAATCCTGTTTTAATGGTTTTTTCAGCTTTTGTTTCCGGACAGTCAGTTTCTTGCCCTGAAGAGAGTGGAGAAAGAGCCGATCTACAAAGTCATGCCGAGACTCCATCAGAGTATCAACAAATTGTAATTCAAGTTTCCAATTCGGAGGCTGATAACTCTAAAGGTAATTTAACTACTCAACAGTATTTTATGTAACAATGAATGAGCTTTAAAGAAAGACAGGTGGATCAGTTTATGTGGGGACTCTCCTCGGAATGTACCGTATCAATGATGATGCACCAGTTGCAGCGATTGACTAATTCTTTGAGCTGCTGAATGACGAAGTCTTATATTTGGAAACTGAAGGGAATATATTGTCATGGTCAATTTCAATAGGAGAACAGGATGCCAGATTGGTCACCAAGTCATAAGTACAATTGGTGAAGTTGTGGTCAATGACAATAGGAGGTGCATTTTTTAAATTTGTAAGCTAATTGAGTTAAATATTTTAATCAAATTTTTCTAATCGTGATATCTATAAGTAAGCATGGGTTCTACAAATTTGAGAGTCAAAATCTATTATCGATAATGTTGCAAACGCAAAGATTAAGCTTCCAAAAGTGAAGGTTTATCGATCATAGATTTTAATCTTAATCCCGATTTTCCAGCTCAGATTTCGTAAAATGGACTGTAGTAACAGGAAGAGAATAAGATCTGACCAGTAAGGCACAAAATCGATAGCTTATAACACCAAAGGATCAAGAATCTACAGGGAGCTATTAAATGGAAAATTTAATGGATAAAATGAGTTTAATGACGCCCCAGATCAGTACAAATTCATCAAAGCTTGCACCTACGCAACTTTTAAAGAGGTCCACAGAGTGCACTAAGAGATAACACTGGATACCAACTTCATGGTAGGAGGAAGAAATTGAGGAGGAAATAGGTGTAAAGGAGCAAACATACCTTTCTTTCTTTCACTCTAAGAGTGGTGAACATACAGTAAGAACTCCATTTATCAGATTTCACAGGACTGACAGATCGATCCGTTAAATTGTAGAATCCATTAATTCGAACTAGCTTGAAACCCTTGAAGGATCCGGAAGATCGATCTGTTAAATTGTGAAATCGCAATTTGACAAATTGCGGTCTTACTATAAAATTCAACTTGTTTGTCATAATTGAAGCATTTAATCTTTATTTCTGTCTTGATTTGTTAAACTTTGCAGAAAACATGATAGCACTACTTTTCTCTCCTTTAAAACCCACTGCCAAGCTCATCATGAAAAATTCTTAAAATTATACCTATAGTGGCAGCCCACCGTTACACCAAAAGGGCATCTGCCAATGTTATTAGGCTCACTCTCTACATGGCAACATGGCCTAGCATGTGTTAAGGTTCAGTGGTATATTCTTGTGAAATCTAACGCAGGCATGATTAGTTGAAACCTCACAAGAGCTAAACTCAAAATAAAACTTGAAATCACCTCAAAGTCACAGTCTTTAATTTTTGTTTTATAACATGTTCCAGATAAAAGTTTGGTCCGTCAACCAAGCACAACCGAATATCTTCCGGGAATGCTTCATTCCGAGTCGCCGCCCGGTCTTCTACCTCAGTTCCCTTCTTGGTCTTTGGTGTGTTTGGGCCCATCTAGTGTCTACTCACACAGTGCTGGTCTCCAGGAACAGCTCCAAATCGGTTTTCTTGGTGGATCTGCACACCTTTTACCATGGGATGTTGCTGTTAGGTTTGTGAAATACCTATCTTATCACCCACGCTTCTCTCCTGTCACTACCAAATAAATTTAGTGTGGATTCTTCTGTCCCTCTTTCTTTATAAGTTAAATACTTTGATGATTCCTTCTAATTTCAAGGAATATCAGTGCAGACGAGTTTATCATGACCCGGTAAAGTCCTAATGTATCCAGAAAACCTCAAATATACTGATGGGATTCGCTCCATAAATACTTGTCTTCTCTGAGTCATTTAAACACAATACAATTCTACATCCTCCAGTGCATTAATAATTGAAAGCAGGGTACTTGTTAATGAATAATCACGAATGTAGCCAGTAAGATTAATCCACTTCTACGTAAAATTTAAGTCCAAGACTCTTGCTGTTCTCTCCTCGTAGTTCTTACTTTATTTAATTATTTAAGTTTGTGTTTCTGATTTCGTACCAAATAACATTCTCTCCTCTAATTGCTTATTTCTCTCTCCAAACATTGCCACTGCTCAAAAAACATTAATCCTTAGAATAAATCTTTTCCAATGGACCACGAGACAAGGTACGAATTTCAGCATTCTGATGCATGCTTCTTAACCAAAATTTCACGTAAAACACGATGCGCACAACGAAAATTACCGAAATCAATTTCTTACGAAGATATTCAATAATTCTTGATGCGTGAATTCAAACCACCCGCTCATGAAAACTCATTGCTCCACGTGATTCACATCGCGCGTTAAACATTATCATGACAGTCTCTGCAATATAAAAATCTGGCAACCTCAATCTTGACACTTTGGCTCAGCTATAGGAAATTGCTTATAGTTTGAATAACACATGGTGGGAAATGAACATTGCTCGATTGAAAGCTTGCTGAAACCGTTGTAGTGCGCGATTTGACTCACGTAGAGCTTTGTGTTTCTTGTGAGCGGGCAGTTCAAATTCCTCGCAACCTATGTGAAATAAAAACGTTAATATCGTCGTTAGGAGTTAGTTTCAGTAATTTTTGTTGTGCAAATCGTGTTCTACGTAAAATTCTGCTTAAGGAACAAGTATCAGATTGCTTAAATTTGTACCTTGTCTAGGGGTCCATTGCGAATTTGAAGTGAGGGTAAGTTGCTTCGATTCCAATTCCCAGGATCCATTGCAAGCGCTCCATTACATAAGCACATGTAGAAAAATCCAACTCATCAATTTTACATTTTTAACAACTTTTGTAAATTTTGGATAGCTTCTAATCCCAAATTTCTTTTCTGTAGACTTGAAAATCAACTATTTAAAGAAAGATGGCAGAATTTTGATGACCGCAACAAATCTGGAAACAACACAAGGTGTCGTAAAAACAAAGGAGGGAAAGGTACGAAGACTTTCAGAATAATTTTCTTTCAAATGTTTACTTATGCAAAAGTATTATTACAAAGTAATGAAATTCTGATGTGCCCTGATTTTTATTAAATTTGTAAACTACAGAAGATTACTTCTCGGAATTGACATGGACCGATCAAAATTAGGCAATTTTGTTTTAAATCAATAAATGGCCAATCCTGTCTTCCTGTCATTTAAATTTTCTCAAGAAAAATACCACGTTTGACAATTTCTTGCCTTTTTCCACGAGCTTCCAAGTTTGTTCACTAAAAGGTACATTTTTGCTATTTCTTTCAGTGTCAGGATGAAAGATTCAGTTAACTTTCAGCATGGTTGAGCACATATCACTGATGCTCTGAAGGCTCTGGAATGATTTCTGAAAACTCGAATTGCTCTTTAAATCTCTTTTTAATCATCTGTTTAAGTCAAAACGAGAGTTACAATTTGAGAATTCCAGGATATCCCAAACCAAAAAAAGTCTTTTTTCCAGTTTTGATTAGCGCCTTTTCCATGAAAAAGGTTGAATTTCCAGCTAGGAGGCTGCAAAAATCAAGTTGTTATTTTATTAAACTTATTTTCTTACCTTTTTTCCTGCCTTTAATGCATTTTGGGTTTTACCCATACTCAGAGCTACAATATAAGTCACCAGCCAACAAACAAACAAACGAACCAACGAAACGTTTGTTTGTCACTTGTAATGTAGGTCAGGATGAAACCTGGAACCTAACAGCAGTTGGAAGAAATGCATGTAGATGAATTTTAAAAAACAATGACAACAACTAAATTATTGTTTCGACTAAAAATTGAATCTATTCCATGATTTTCATGGCAGTGATAAATGCAAATCTGTTTAATCTCCCATTTATGTTAATTTATCTGTCTTATTTGGATTAATTGCAGAATCAGCTGAATTCACTGTCAAAATATTCGTCGGAGTCGAATATGAATGCCCGAAAGGTCACAGGTTTATGTGTGCAGGGCCAGACAAAATACTTAAGAGTTCTCCCGGAGGACATGTCAAAGATAACGGAAATAAAGTCACCAGTAGTGACATGCCTCTGTATTTTCCGTGCCCGTGCAGGTACTCTTTTTTTCCTATTTTCCCGAGTCTTTTTTTGCCTTTTATCTATGCTTTACAGGGACGCAACATCAGGCAGTCTAACGAGCGGTTTGACACACCAGGTGAATGCGCCTTTATAATCAACAATATAAAGACCATACAAACAATGCATGTACAAAAATATAAAGACCACGGATTGGTGGTGGTTGGTGAGAAAGCCCGCCCAAGATGTAGTAGTCATACAACAGATTGNNNGGGGGGGGGGGGGGAGTTCGGGCTGTTTTTAACCTCCGGACCTGAAAGTAAGATGGTAAGATGACCCTATCCTAAACCCCAGTCCTGGTGGGGCGTGTAAGTCACCACACCATTGGTGGAGAACAGGATCAGCCAATCTATAGTTTATGAATTGTTGGTCACAATATGCAAGAATTGTTTTTTCTAGATACTCTTTTAGCTATCAATGCTTACACAACCGAAAAAATAGAGCATTAAACTGTGACTAATAGAAATAAAGGAGGTAAAAAACTGAGATCTGATAAATGACAAAAGGAAAGGAATTCACGGAAAAAATTAAATTGCTTATTTAACAATTCAATTGCTAAAAAAAAGTGACTGCAATATTTCAATGTAGATTTTACAACAAAAAAATGCTACTTTAACCACTATTGTAAGCTAATTTAACCACGGGGGTGGTTAAAGCAGCCTTTTTTCGTTGTAAAATTTACATTGAAACATTGAGTCAATTTTTTTAGCAATTGAATTGTTAAATCAGCAATTTAATTTTTTCCGTGTTATAAGAAAGTTAAAAACTCGAACTGACTCATTAAAAAGCTTTTTTGAAAGGTTTTTCTTATTTTTTATTTTTGATCCATGAGTTTGAGTTCCTTATTTTTTTCCAATTCCTTTTTTTCAATAATAAGTGCATTGTCAACTAATTTTAACTTTTAAATATGGGTGTTAAGCTAAATGTAACTACTTTTGTAATACTCAGTTCCTCAATCAACAGTGTTACTGTACTCAATATCATGCATGCATAAACAAAAAAGAAAAATAATAATAGTTTCAGGCACTACACTGAAATAATCAACCATCACACTCCAGAATGTTTTGTTAAAAAGTTTTATAAAATGGATCTCATTACAAGTTATCAATGAGGAGTTGACGTTCCTTCTGCTAGCATGTTCAGTGGTAATTAATATAACATTTTGGTTTGGAGTTTGTAAATTTTATCATGGCCCAACAAACTTAGGTTGCCCTTATTAGTTGTATCTAATTGGAACTTTTCATTACTTCGACTCTTACAGGAATTCGAAGCCTTTAATAGCGCAACTCATGCGACTACATGTTGTCACTCCAAAAGCACCAGTGCATGTGACTCTCAACCCAAGAGTTCAACCAGCCTCCAGTCCGTGTCCGACTTTCATCACAGGCTGCCAAGAGCCAATCAGACTCTCACAGAGCGCTTATTGGGTTCTCCGTTTGCCGTATCCTTTCAAACTTTTTTCTTTCTTATCTAGAACGTTGAACAATTGGGTTTTCTTCAAAGTAGCAAATTTTCAATCAAACTTCAACTTTTTGACCTTTTCAAACTTTCGACCTCACTCAGTCGTCTTCTTAATTTTTCACACATTCTAAATACCTATCATAACTCTAATTGATTTTTGAGAAACTCGAAGTAGTTCTTGTCAAGTTGAGGATGGTTTTTTCAGAGTTCGCTATTTTTTTCTAAAAAGTTTTTCTTTCAGTTGTTAGTTAGTTTATTACTTCTATTTTCTCGTATTTTATAATTTTTTAAACAATGCTCCTTGACCAAACTTTTCAGTTATGTGTATGCCGGGGATCGAGGCCCATATTTACCTCCCAAAGAATCACCACCCTCGAATTGCGGCCGTTTGTTAGCAGGTGTCTATGGGATCACTGAAATTGCTGTGGAGTCCAAAAGAGAGGCCAACCCAACCTAGCTTCCTTCCAAATCACAATGATGGATGGAATATCTTGTGCCCAGCATGCATTTGCCTCTATGACGAAGTGAATGTTTTGGGACTTTCACTTTGTTGAGGTTATTTTCTCATGGGATAAGCACATCTGCTTGTGTCACTTCTCTGCATCTAGCTAATGGCGGTCATTAGTTCTGCAGTGAAGCACTGTGCAAGCTGCCCAATCTTCACAATGGGCTGATTTTGAAAGTTCAACTTGTCTGAAGATACAATAGGCTGCCAATCATTGTCGAACATAGATTTTCGTCTGAAATACAAGATTTTAAGGTCTCAGGAGGGCTCTCTTTAAGCCCAACAGCAAAATCGCAAATACATTCTCAGTTTTGTGTAAATCGTCTCAGCTGAAGATCATCAAAATCACAGGCAGAGCCATTGTGGCTGCTCCTCATTATACCCATGAATAATCAGAATTTTTCTATGGTTTGCTATGTTATGTTGTTACGGATAAAAGCCAATTTCTAAAGCAAATTCATCATTTAAATCGATTGTGTGAATGTGAAATGAAGAGTTTGAAGTACAAAATAATGCAAGTTCCCTCACCTTTTGTTCTCAAATTTATATTCAGCATACCTTCAAGTATTACCATAGAAAATTTCAAGTCTGTATCCGAATCATTGAGCAAGCTGTAAGATATGGAATTTTTTCCGAAGGAATGTGCCCTGTTTAAAAAAATTGTTGCTGCACAAGTCAGCCCTTACAAATGGAAAAATTGGCCTTCAGTAGAAGTGAGATTGAGAGGGAATATGAAGTGAAAAGTATCCCTCTAAAATTTATTTTTAAAGGAGGCCGGACTGAATTGAATTATTCTGTACCTCACTGATACTTGTCTAATGAGTCATCCAACTAATAAATTGATTTTTTTTTTCACTGGACTGTCTCTTATTTCTTTTTATTGTTGATTTTGGTGGCCTTTTTTCTCTGTTAGAAGTAAATTTGTGGTGATTTTTTTTTGTATAGGGTAAAAACGTTTTCCCATAAAATGAATGCCACTAAATTAAAGTGTACTGAAATTTCTCACCATTGGGAAAAATTCAAATTCAAGTCTCCTGCACTTTACTTATCCATACTTTGAAACGTCGAATGTGATCATCCTAAGGCTTTCCAAATGACATTGGTACCTCATCTCCCTCATCAAATTCTCTATATTTTTTGGAAAATCTGCTTGCACTGAGAAGAATCAACAAATTCAGCTGATTAATTATTTATCTTCACATATAAGAATCCCTCATTTCTTGTTGGTATGCTTTCCAGAAAATTTCCCGCCAAAACCAGTTATTTTGTAACCGGTATTTTACTGTTGCAAATAGAGTTTTTATGGTGAGTTACTGGTTTGGTAATATGACTAATACCCCTTAAGCGAAAGTGTAACTAAAGTATTTTGTATTGCTGAAGAAAAGTAAATACCTGGCCGATATTACTCAAGTTTTTAGTTATACGAGCTTCTCTGTGCAGATGAAATTTTTTATGCATGGGCTAGAAAATGTAGTTCCTACATGCAAAATGCTGTACTAAGTAGCAACAGAGTGATGCCCGAAAAGCTATGCCGTGGAAACTGCTGATAGAATCTCGAGTTGCCACGTAAGTTCAGTCTCTCAGATCAGAGTTTGCAGTTGCACGGACGATTCTCATCTCATATTCCTGATGAAAGGTGACTTGCAGGAAGAGCAACAGCAGTTACCTTTATAAACATCTTTGATATCTCTACGAGTGTCAGTCAGTAGGAAATAAAATATTTGAAACTAAGCCAAAAATAATAGCTATAATGACAATGTGTTTCTCTTTCTGTAAGGCAGTTTTAATCTTAAGTATGAGAAGTGCCATCTGTAAACTTTGAACCTATAAACTGAGCTTGCGTGGCAACACTTGAAAATTATCCTACTTTTATACGAAGATTCACCGATGAGAATTTCCAGTGAATCTTATTCCCAAGTAGCCAAAATAACAGTTTATTCAACATCCTGTAGTTACAATATTATTTGATGGCCTTCCATAACTTGAGAGAGATTGCAGAAAGACTTTGACTGAAGAGTGAATTCTCTAAATTTCTCTAGAGTGAATTTACTTTGTTAGTTTACTCTTTCAAAGTTCAAGGCACAATGAATGAATGCAGAAATAATTAAGAGAGCTTCCATGATGCAATTAAGTTCATGACAAGCAATTATTGCTTGGGCCAAGTTGTTCTCTGGTAATTAAGAGGGTGATCAATATTAGTTTTCAACACAGGTGTTAAATGAGGCCAATATGCATTCCAGAACATTAACTTGTTTTGATGCTAAATGTGAACGGTTTCCTAGAAGTAAAGAATGGGCTAAAAAATCATGGAATACTATCACTCTACTAAAATAAGTAACTTGTCATTCTTTTAGGCCGATTGTGGAAAAAAAAAGTTATTAGGGGCAGGCTGAGCTAAGAAAGAAATTAATATTTTTTTCACAAAAATAATTTATTCTGTTATAGGAATTAAAATATAATTGTACCAATATTTCAAAAAAGTAAGCACAATGCGATATAAAAAACAAAAGGAAAAAAAAACAATTAACACAAATCTAGTTTTGTAAATTTTGTCTCGGGGCTTTCAAAAACTGATAATTTCAGACACAGAGAAAAAGAGTAAATCTGCAGGAAATGTTAAATTTTGAAGTAAAAGTAATCTGCTAGCATGAACCAAGACTCAGATGAGCAGAGAATTTAAGAGAACTGTGTAGTAAAATAAAATTTTTTTCTTCAATGATAGTGAACAACAGAAAATTTACAGACGAGTGTAAAATGAGAAGAGAGACAAAATGTTACAGTAAGCAAAAACGAAAAGTTTTTTCCCAGAGACAAAACGAATACACCAATGTACCATTAATTTAAAGCAACATTTAATAGGTTCAAACATTTGGGTATGCAAACATCTCATCATCAGAATTCATTGGCCTAGAAGCTTTAGAGCTAAAGATTTTCCTTATTTAATTGTGATCTGGAAGAGGTAGGTACTTAAGGTTATAAAAATACATTCATCGAAAGAAAAAAGATCACAGTTGCAAAAGAAAATGCCCAAGGAGATGTACGGGTCAATTTGTCACTAGGATCACAGATTCTAGAAATTGACAATAGTCTTCGATGATAAAAACTCTTCTACAGTTCAGATGAAACATAAAAATCTTTAGAAACTGAACAAGATACTTGGGTGTTTGTTTCAATACAAACATAACAGGATTTTAACTTCTAAGGTATAACATGCATTAGGGCTAACAATGTTATGACAATGTGCATAGAGATGCAGTTAACTACTCGAGATGATGTAATCTATTTGCACTCTCCAAATTCATCTAATACTTATTGGAGCTACAGAGGGAGATTAATCGACCAATTAACGTTAAAACCATGTCAAAGAGATAATTTCATTACTACAGTCCATGACTGATTTGCAGTCAGATTTACAACTGAATCAATAGTCGAATCAACAAAGACGAGGGCAACACAATATTAGGCAATGGCTGATCCTTGCTCTTTTCTTGCAGTGCTCACAAGTACGCAGTTTTTAATGCATTTTGATTTTAACTGAAGAAAACCATAAAACCATAACTACTTATGTTTAAAGAAAAATCTCAACCACCAACAATTTTAATTAATGAATGCATCATGATCTCTAGCCATGATCAAAAAATGAAAATTAGATATTTCGAACAAGGCATTCATCTTTCAGAAGTACCGCTTCCCTCAAACCTCCACTGTTTGAAACGCTGAATTTCTCTTTTTCTTATTCTGACCTCGACAGAATGATATCAAATTTGAAGTAAAAATTGAAAAGAATAATTTAATTTTGTTTTAATTTTAAAGGTTGCGATTCTTGAAGGAAACAGATAAAGATAAGGAGGGAGGAGGCCTCAAAGGCTGAGGTCTCTGAATTTCCAAATCAAAAACCAAATATAAGTTTTTTCTAATAATAAAAAAAAAATTTCTCACTGAGGACTTGGTCATCATAACAAACTAATCAAGGATTGAAAGAAGAAATTGGGGGGGGGGGGNGTAAAAAATATCAAAAGGAGTCAAAACTGATTTTGAGGAAAACTGTACAAAGTTAAATACTTAGGCCTTTTATTTCGAGAAATTAATCCACAGTTGAAGCAAATGTGAACAGAGTAAGAAACTAAATGACAGAAAAACGCAATTCTATGTTTTGTGCAGAACATTGCAGTTGCCACTCAACCGACACCTTCATCGGCTGAGAGGACTTTATCTAGAAACCTCAGCTTTCCTATCATTTGAGGAGCTAGAGGACGAGACCACTTTTGAATTCAAGTACTTCCTGATCAGATTTACATGAGAGCAAAAAAATCCCTCTTGACACAATCGCAAAAACTGCTGTGAAGACAATAAAACAAACTAATTGGTCTGTTTTCACAGCACTGAATACTAAATGAGGCCTGAGCAATTTTAATGAGGAATGAAAGAGGTAATAGAAAAACTGAGTGACATCCTGCGCTTGAATTTTTTTGGTCCTGATTAAAAACATAGAGCTATGAACATATGGCTGGCTGCACGTTGGGCCTTTTCCATGCTAATGTTGAGTTTAAAATTCCTGAGGATTTAGGATACTTTCTTTTTCCAGCAGGTTGGAGCTTACAAGACCATTGCTGACCGGTTATAATGAAAGAAGTATTTGAATACATGGGCGGTAACAATAAAATGCTAACATTGTGCTTATAATATGCTTGGGTACTTACAAATAATAATGAATAGCTTCAACATCTAATTAGAATGATGAAAGGTGCCCCAATGGAAGAGAGATCAAAGCTATACGAATTTACAGCAGACAAAATGGTATACATCTTAGAAGATAGGAGTTAATTCGCTTGGTTTCTAACCAGTTGCAGTCCTGGGATCTCAGAAGACCGATGAGACCATGGTAATATTAGATTTAGTGGTTTCCGAGGTTCAAAGCCTTGAAGGCAATAAAAGCCAACTACCTGCAAGATTCTGCCACAGGGAGGAGTGCGAAATGGATGGTAGAGAGAAAAATTCATTGGGAAAGACAACCCTAAAATGAGGATTCCTTCAGTCCTGCTAAAGTCAGCATCATAGAACCTACCATAAAGTCAACGTTGATACCCTGACAAGAACATTCGGTGAATTAGCACCTTATAATGGGTAAGTACAATAAGTTAAATGACTGCGACATAAAAGAATTTCTCTTATTGCCGCCTCTCGGAAAATAAGTTTTGGCTCCCGATTTGGAGTAGGGCTGCGTTTCATTGTATTTCGGGGATCTCAGATGAAAATAAGGAGAGGCACCAGGACTTTCAAAACATTGGCGTAATCAAATTTTCCTGACATTCATTCGAGCTTAACTTCGGAGAAAAAATTGAACAGGTTGAAATAGGAAATGAACACCATAAGTACGTCTGTGGATTAGAGGCTCAGGGAGCAACTAATAGGTTCCATTTGATTACAAAGCACAAAGGTAGGAATGAGAACAAACGTTGACACTCGGAATCTACTGTAAGAGGATTGAGGAAGGCTATACACATCGTAATAGGTGTCGGCTATTGAATTCAGGCTCATGGTAAGATCGGTACCAGATGGCCTCTTGAAAGAATGCGTAAAACAAAGTGAAATGAGGATGAGAGGCTGATGAGGTTAACATGATAAGAACTTTTCTTGGTAGACATGTCTGAACCTGAGCATGGTGAGGTTGGATGGGATAAACGTAGAAAGGGGGCAAGAGCTGTTAGATATGAGCGACCAAAGATGAGAAAAATAGAGGTGGATTTAAACATAATGTCCCGTTAACAAAATAATTATCTTTATCAAACTTAAATTTGAATAGGGTCTTCGTGGTTACTCAGCAACGGTGCATTCACGGCTGATGTGACCAGCGACACCGCATCGGTAACAACTTCTACTATTCTTCGGACAGGATCTAGCAAAATGTCCAGGTTCATCACAAAGTCTACAGGTCTGGCTGGAGCCAGAACCACCATCGCCACCTCTCATATTCGGACACTCTCGGGCAAAGTGGCCAATATCATTGCAATTGTAGCATTGGGATTCACTGGTGGTCGACGTGCAGTCTTTGGCTATGTGGCCTTGATTATTACACTTGTAGCATTTACCCTGATCTTCTTTACACTCACGTGCGAAGTGTCCGATTCGGTTACAGTTGTAGCATTTATTCTCGCGTCCTCCTCTGTAACCACCGCGGTCGCCTCCTCCTTGAGATTCTCTGCATTCACGGGCGAAATGACCCTGCTTATTGCAACGGTAACATACACTGGCAGAACTCATCTTTCAGGCCTGTTCTACTTAAGCAAATCGCAACCTGTAAGATAAAATCAGGAGCATTAGCTTCAGTTCTTCACTGTAGGAGTGAAAAGAACAGAACTAGAATGAATAAAATAATTAAATTAACTTACTTCAAAAGATGTTGTTTATCCACGTGCAAGGATTTCTCGTACCGCGTAGCCAAAAGAGAGAGACAGACAGAGGAAAATCTCAAGTGATTTCGCAACGTTGTGATGCAGGCTCCTAATTTCGGCATCAAATGGCGCCAAGTGCACGAACAATACAAGAATATGATCATTTTAATAAAGTCTCCTAGAGTGCGCTGTTGTTATTTGTTTGGTGCATTTGGCAACGTAAACGATTTGATTTGTGTTGTGTTTTGTTTTGACTTTTTTGTTATCAATATCTGTCAATATCAAGTAAAAAGCATAATGCAATTGCAATTATTGCAATTACAATACTCCTCTTTTGATCGAGGGGGTCACTTGTTTCTATTCGAATAAGTATTTCTATTTCGCAGTGGTAGGTTTTTAGCCGTCACTCATTTTCATAGTTCCTACACCTGTGCCCATCCCATCGGTGCTCAAACTCTTTTCTATCACTCTTACTAAATATGTAGATAATGAAAGTTTTAGTCTCTTTGGTAATATTGAGTGCATTTTGTCATTTAGTGAGGTGTGACATTTTTAAAAATGACACATTCGAAAATACCACCAAATACTTCCCTCATGGACCTCTCATAAAGTGCAAATTTCTGTAAGTATACTGCTATCAGTCAAAGTAAAATTCGGTCATTCAGTCACCGCAGATTTCCCATGAGCCATTTTGGTGTAATCATAAGCTTACCGTTAGCCTAAGGCTCCATTTCTGCTCAGTTTATTAAATCTGATTCGATGCTAACGAGATGCGGTTATGATTTGACTATGGGGAAACACTCCTGGAAGATGGTTGATGCTAAATTCATATTCCTGGCGGCTGATAACCAAGAGAACTCATTTAAATAGACGGCATGTGTCGAATGTTGTACCACTTCACTGACGTGGTTGCTACCTACAATGAGACCAATATTAGTCTCCTAACAAGATAACACCTATCTGAACAAAGTCTGCTCATTAGTGCTTTGCCGAAAGAGCCGCTGAAACTAATAAATTTTTTTACTGTTGCAAATCTGGTGTCTATTGACCAATTTGAATTCTTCAATGATGCAAAAGTGTCAAATTTCTGCACCTATCTTTGAGTCATGTATCGAAAATGAAGAATGAATGTTGAATGATGAATGTTGCGATAGAATCTAGTGAGTTGTTACGAGTCAATTCAGGTCAGTCCAGAGGTGGGAACATGCAGGACTTTCGTACGAAGTCATGAAGCAGCCAAAGGGTCCCTCAAATTGGCTTTAAGATTTTTGAGGGACTGGAGCAAATTATTCCTAAGTATCGGGATCTCAATCATTAACACAATTTTCGTGTTCTTTCCTACGATCTAACTATGGTGACATGACTCATTATGTAATTGGTAGTGTATGAAATTTACGAGGACGAGAAAGGTGCTGAAAATTAATCTTAATTGTATTCTTCTTCTTGCAGCCCCTTGGAGTTTTTGGACTGTGATGACCCTTTTGACCACAAAGGAAACAAAACAGCTCGAGATGAAGCTGGGCATGGCTGTGTTAAGGTGAGACTGACCTCTGCTCTCTACTCTGCCACAAACAAATCTGTCATTAGATTGTTTGATCAATTCCTGGAATAAGATGGACGATCTGCCATCTTGATTATGGGTTTGCAAAATTTTGCCAGTGCAAAATGAGGAGTTTTTGTAGTGCAAAATTATTGAAAAATCACAATGAGTGTGCGAGGAAGGTCCAAAATTCATCCCTAATCTCACAATTGGTGCAAGGTTGATTAAAAGGAGGTTGGTACAATCACCCAATTCGGCGCCATGTTGATGACGTACTAGTGGGACCTCCAGTAGCGCGAAGTTTGAATTGAGACGTCTTGCGCGAGTTGCGCGCAAGCAGACTGATGCTATTAATAACAATTTCTTATGCACACATTATTTATTGTAACAGAATATGAAAATATACATTAATTGAACACATTTTATTACTATCACGATATTTTAAATTGGTTCTTTTCTCCGAAGCCCCAAAATTTGCGGGGGGTCGTGGTCCTCATAATTTTTGGTTAACAGGAGTCGTGTGGCACATCAACGAAAATGTATTGATCTCTTCTCTTAGGGGAATTTTAGATTTTGAAAATCGGATAATTTTGACACCTACAGTCTCTAATTGAAATTTGCGCAAGAAAGGTCCCAGAATTCCCCGTAACTCCAAATAATGGGGACTAAAGAAAAAAGTGCATCTAGAGCAAAAAGTTCTTGTTTTTGGCCATAAACTTTGAATCCAAAGTCATAACATACCCTACCTGTTTGAAATATGCGAGAAACGGGGGGGGGGGGGGGGTAACCCCCCCCCTTAACATCCCCCTAAAATGGGGTTTCGGGGGGCTGAAAATATTTCCATTGAATTCTTTGGGGTCAATTATCCCCTGCAAATTTTCGTCCGAAGCTCAATTCTCGGCCGTTTCCGAGAAAAAGATAGTGAACGGGTGCCCTGGAATACCACAAGTAGCATGTCAAAACAAGCAGTTTGAACTGCGCGCCAGATCGAGGTCCCACTAGTACGTCATCAATATGGCTGGATGTACCAACCTCCTTTTAATCAACCTTGCAATTGGTGGACTTGTTTATTAAGATACGAAGCAAGCTCTGACAAATTGCAGCTATATTTTCTCTTCAATTAATGAACCTTATTTAGTAGAGTGGATCATTCTATTTATACTAAAAAAATTGTCAGGTAGAGACCTTTTTTGCATCAGGAGATAGGAAAAAACAAAAACCAATTTTTGTTAAAATCACTAATACCTAACTTTAACTTCTATCAAGACACATAGGAATTTTAATAAACGTACACTGGCAACAATATTATGATGTGAACATTCTTAATTCCTGCCATCTCAAATCTCTTACAAAATTTTTACTTCTAAGTACTGTTCATAATGTCATTCAGGCACATCTGAAGTTGGCAAATTTACATACTTAGCTGCCTTTGCTTCTGCACCTATGTAAAAGAGTGAAAATGGGTGATGAGCGTACACATTATTCCACAGAGTGAAAGATTAAGGGACTTAATCTTTCACTGGATATCTTTATATGGACTTCTCATCAAATAGAATATGTCCTGTTTTCATTTGTTCCCTTTTTATCTCCAATAATTTTAATTTCCCTTAAAATTTTGCTTATTTTTAAGGAGAGAAACTGACAAAAAAGTTTTGTCCAAAAGAAATTAAAATTCCATTCCCTACTGAAATCACTATTTTAAAGAGCCATCTACTCACTCTCATTTTTAGTTAGGTTGTTGTCAAGTTCTCACTGAAGTTGAGTTGAGGGGCTTGGAGGGCTAAGCATAGTGCAGTTTTTTACAAAATTGAGCTAACATGATTTCAAGTGAAACATGTCTCAATGCATATTCTGATAAAAATTTGCTCCAAAAGTTCAATTTTTAAGCATCAACAAGTCAGTTGAACTTTCTTTCCGCCAGAAAGATTCATGTAATTTCGAAACTTCAAACACATTTCTTGAAGTAGCAAAAACTGCACAAATGCGCCTTGTCCTCCAAGCCCCTGAGTTTAGATAGCTCTCAAAGCTAGTTTGAGAGCACCATCTTGAGTTTTATAAAGTTGACCTTTTCTCGTAGCCAAGAAAGAAAAATTAAAATAGTGTATTTTTCCTTCGGAAAATACACTAATAAAACTGTCCGCTTTTTAGTTTTCTTTACTTAGGCTAGAAAATTTACCATCTCAATGAAATTTTATCTCTTCTCAGTTTGGAAATTACCGTTATGAAGATGTTGAAAAAACAGCGGTGACTTGTCATGTTCTACCAGGAATTGAGTGTCATGGGAAGAGATCTTTTCTTAGACCAGGCTTTCCATGTGTGAAGTAAGTATATTACTGTGTTGGTTGTTCCCGTGAATGTTCTTTCGCAGCTCCTTAATGAAGTATGCCAGGAAATTAAGGCCAAATTTGAATAAAATTCAAAGTTCCTTAGGTGCCCAACAAAAAACGCGGTTTCAAGAAAAACATATTTCAATATGTTTTTATTGAAATTTTTATCATTGATATCAAGACATATATGAGTGTTGTTAAATAATAATTGATATAGATGAGCCTGAGAGAATATGAGCCACTCACATCCTAGTATGGGTTAGATACGAAGTTTGTAATAAATCTGGTAAGTCAAGATTAGCATAAAAGGAGCCTTAGGCTTTTAATCAAGAAAATCTTTTGAACTCTGAAAAGGATTTTGGCTACTCTAATAATTGTTGTACTGTAATAGTTGTTGTAATAATTGTTGTTCTAATAATCACAAAAAGTTTGGATTTTTTTACGTTTGTAAAATTTCCGTTCAGATTTTTGAGATTTCAGTAAAAAAATTATTATGTCAAGAAAATAAGTAACTAATGATCTTGTTTCTCTTATTTTCAAAGTAGTGCTAAATACCTTTGTTACATAAATATTTGTGTTGATATTTTTGCAGATACAGTGGTCATTACTTTGTCACAACATTGATGTACAGCATTTTGCTAGGTTTCTTGGGCATGGATAGATTTTGCCTCGGTCAGACAGGCACTGCCGTTGGAAAGCTTCTCACTCTTGGAGGTTTGGGAGTCTGGTGGGTTGTCGATGTGATCCTCTTGATTACGAATGGCCTTGAACCAGAGGATGGATCCAATTGGAACCCTTACACCTGAGTCCCAGGCTGAAATCCTGGAGTTCAAATGAGAAAACTGGTGTAGGAACGTTTTGGTTACCTCTTCTGCGACCTTAAGTCTTCTTGCTCGTTCTTAAGTTCATGGGAAACCCACAACATTGACCTACAACCTTAGTGCAAATATGCGTTTTCCAGAAAGGAATTGGGTCTGCTACGAAACTGACCATTGAATAAGTGCTGGTGTTTGAGTGTCATCATTAAGGAAGTTTTTTTTTGTGTTTCATCTCTTTTTGTACCCAATGTTTATCCATCGTAAGTTTTTGGAAGATTCCAAGACGATACTCAAGCAAAAATACCCCTTCCCAATTAAAAATGCTGTAAATTTCCTTGAAAGTCAACTTAGATTCTGCCTTAAAATCTAAGTGATTATTGTAGACATTGTTTTACCAAAGGCATGTTGAATATGTCTATAATAATAAAGGTAAAGTTTAATCACCGCTGCCAGTTCTGCTAGTAAAACGATTTTGGGATTCGGAACTTTTTTTATCCAATTTTTTTCACAAGCACCTGAATAACCTAAGTTTCAGAGTAAGTTCTAGAACTAACTAACGTAAAAAACCCAGAACCATGCAAATTTGAGCATAAACCTAAGAAATCTGCTTAAATTTTATTATGTCTAAGAAAATTTCATGGTCCAGATGAAGAAAAGTGGGGAATGGCAGAAAATGTCAAAATTGTTACGCTACAGCTGTTGTCAAATATACAGTCGAATCCTTAGTATAGCAAGAAAAATGGACAGTCACCAGTGACCCAATGCTGGACTGAGTTCTGGTGATTTTGCCAATGTGTGTTAGAATTCACATTCAAAACTATTCAAAATAAAACTGATACTCTCATGATAGAAGAACAATCTATATTAGTCACACTACCTTACGAGAGCTCTAGCAGAGCTGTCTCAATAATATGTTTGCTAGATGGTGGTAAGTTTGTTTGCCATTGCAAATGCATACCCAAACTGCGGACAGGTTCTCATGATTTCTCCAGAAAATTAGGAAGCTGAGCTGTGCCAATGGAACCAATTAGAGTCAATACGCGCCCACAGTAGCCCCCCTGATTGGTTGTAACTAGTGTTGCCCCAAGCAGCGTATTACTCTAGAAGGTAAATTGTGCTTTGAAGAGCTTTTTCCATCTGTAATGAGAGTATCACTTTTATGCTAAATTTTAATGTACAAGGGCAAAATTATCAATACTCTGTTCAAATGATTTGTGCATCTAACCACCATCTGTTCTGGGTTGTACAGTGTGTGCATACTCACTCAGTCAGACTACATAGTTTGAGTGTATCTTTAGCAGCGGCTTCCTGTTTTGCCAAGGAAGTAATTAGAATTAGTGAGAAAGGAGAGATCAACATAAGATCAGCCGAGGATTTGGAACAGTAACAGTAGAGGAATATTTACTGAAAGATCATTGAAAAGGCAAGAAGAAGGATTGAACTGAACAATTCTAATCATCAGGCAGTACTCTAGAAATCTCAAGGATTCCAGGAAAAATTACGAAATTAGAGATTATTTCTGGGAAATGGCAGCACTGAGTCAAACAGATTTTTTGGGGAAAAAATAAGAAAAATTACCTCTAGGTCTGAAGTTTGTTTGTCAAATTAGTTATTAATACTACTGCTGCACTTCTAACAAGTGTTTTATTAAATATTTCAACAGAATTCAACAGGGTGCACCAAGTTGCATAAAGTTCAAAATGTGATAAAGAGGTTCTAACTTTTGTTCCTCCATGAGACTCCATGTTGAGGACAACTTTAACATGTATTTTCACGTTCGAAATACTTTTACTCAACTTTGAATATTTGACAGTAGAGAATTTACGACCAGTTATATTCAAAACTACTCTTAACTCATTTTCTTCCAAAATGCGACTTGCTGCGTTTCTGCCATTAAGCTCTGTCCATTTGTGAGTCTTCAAAAGACACGCATATTATCAAAAACAAGTTTGAAATTCAATTTCAGACATTGTTGTATGGTTGTGTTGCAATTTTTGAAATTAAAACTATTATTTTTTTTATTGAAAATCCATCTCCTTTTTTTTGGTTTATTTCATAAGCAACTTTACAGAATTGACGGTCACAAACAGCAGTTTTATGCTCCGATGGCAGGGCTCTCAATTGCAAAATATTGAATAATAGACTTGCTCGATGTATCTATTTATAAAGTATGAACGTCCGTCGGGAGAGGGACAAACAGTTCTCCAGGCAAATTCTTCACAAATTGAATGATTGAAAAGTAGGTAAAAAATTCAGTAATGGAGATTTTAATAGAAATCGCTCTCATGTATCTGGAGGAATAAGTTAAGAGAAGCACAGATACAGAAAGTCACCCGTCCGCCAGGTGGCTCTTAACATTTTTTCTATCAGCTTTTCATACAAAATTTTTCCCCCAGATTAAAAAAGGAATGAATTTTTTCTACCACTCATTTATTTATTTTATTGATTGACAGACTGTTTAAAGAGTTTCAATTTGCGTTAATACGCTTAAGTGCATGTACCTAATTTGGTGCTACCCCCTCAAACCGATCAAATCATATGCATTCAAAACACTTGGAGCAGTTGCAAAATTTACTAAATGGAAAAATTTAGTTACATTAGGTGGTCCCTTTCATGTTTACATTCTTTGTTAAAAATCTTTGATGTGTTTCATTCGCAGTTGTCAGTGAGAGGAAATGAGGAATGGCTTACCATGGAGAGTAGATTTAACGAGGCTCTTTCCTTGAGAGTCCTAGGTGATGCTCAAAGAGAGATCTACTTAATCTTGGATGTATTGAAACATTTTTTCTTGACAGAACGACTGCCATAAATAAAATGCAAGAATAGAATGATACCTCGAAATGATTGCAAAGATTTATTGAAGGCAAAGATGATGTTTTAATTGAATTCTTAATGAAATTCTTCATTACATTCATTTTCAAAAAATCAATTACTTTCCCTATTACAATGAAGTTTGAATGACTAGACTGAACATGTAATTTTTAGGAGGGAAATCTAATAAAATTTTAAAACAAGAAAAATATTTTGGCTATAGGAGGGTTATAGACAGGAGGCAAATGGATAAAATTCGATGAAACTCAACATTGGCCGTCCCATGAGGCACATTTATCTGTTGGCTGGACAATTACACAGATGATAAATTTCACGTTACGTGTAATGACTCAGTAAGTTCTGAGAGACACTATCTAGGACTTTTTCATCACAGAATGAATTTACTAATGAAAATACCAATGGCAGATCTTTTTGTTGATCATCTGCTCTATCACAGCTGCAAGAATTCATTAAATTGTCAATTTGCTCCTTTGAAATACGTTCGACTGCTTTGAAATTCAAGTGGCAAAGTTTCCTTTTCTTGACAAGACTTTCTCCCTGATCCTCTGAGTCATTTTGATGACCAACTGGTAGCTGAGTGATACAATGGGATAATTTTTCCAAACACTCTGCTGAACTTTCGATGTCATCCTGAAATGAATCATACAATTCATCACTTAGAAAGGCTTGCACTGAAAGCTTTATTTAGGGGCATAACAAGGGCTAAGGAACAGTAGCCCCTCACTAACCATTCTGGTGGAAATGAGTTTGCGACTTTGCCGCATTCTACAGAATGGAGCGCTGTAATGTAAAAAAAAGAAATCACAAATCTAACCTCAACATTAAACAGAATGCAAACATTTTTCTTGGTCTTGTAAAATCGTCAGTTTGCCGACAAATGGTATTGTTCCTTAGTAGTAATCGTAGTAATCGATGACTACAGAGATACAACCACTCATACCTATTCAGGTGTTTCGCTCCAATTTTATGTTTTCAAAGGGAAACACGCCAACTTCATAACTTGAAATTTACATAGAATATTCCTTTAACAGGGAAGAGAAATCTTAAAATGAATGATGAAAAGTGTTTTGGACTTTAGGGTTAAATATTATTCAAATAAGAAGGGGTGAGAGAGCTAATTCAATGAAGTTTTCGATTGAGAACCAGTAAATTTAACTCTTCTCAAGTTGGGGTGTCTGCTCCTGGTATATTTTGAAAAACAAATAATTTTTCATGCTTTCTCATGCAACCCACTATTAGCTTTAGAATTGGCAGAGATAATTAGAAAATGGATAACGACGGTGAAACTACCAAACCACGTATCTCGTTTGCGGTGTTTAAAAATCTACGCTCACATTTTATTTTTTTGAAGTAGACCAAATCAATATCATTCCTTGAAATTTTCACGGAATTTTCTCCGCACAAAGAGGAAAAATCACAGAAATTTTCAAGACTGGATGTTAAGTAGCTTTTCATTTAAAAAATAAAGTATGACAGGAAGTCTGCGAAGTCGCAAACCGAGATACGTGGTTTGGTAGTTTCACCGTCGATATAGCATTTAATTAAACGCTACAATCTTCATTGTTTCTACCAGCAAAAGTCAATTCCGATTTAGTAATCTTCCTTCTATAATTGCTAGGCTAGAAAAATAGTGAAATTAAAAAAAAGAAAACAGAATTTGATGCCTGGAAAAAAGAGAATATCCCTTTTTGACTTACTTCATTAGGATTTAAAAGCTCGAGACACATTTCAGAAGTTAAAGTTGGTTTGATGGTGGTCACTAAAAACCGAACAAGACATTCCTTCAACCTGGCTAAATTGTCTGTTGCCTGGGGGAAAAAAAGGAAAAAGAAAATAGACAGAATTTATCAAAAATGGTTTAGTGGCAGTGATAAAATTTGAACCAGACACTCCTTTGACAAAGCTGAAGAATCAAGAATGAAAGAATTGACTGATGGAGGGAGATGGAACGAAAGAGAGAAAGTACTGGTGGCAGTATACTAGGCAAATTTCCGCAGGTGGGTTTGGTCAACTTTTTCGACCAGATTGACAGATTTGCAACCCAAAGGATAAAACTGTTTTGCTGAGGTCCAGAACTAAATTTGATAATTTTGGCCAATGTTTGCATCCAACCTTTTTTTATGTACCTCGGGAGGTGGGTCGAGAATTTTAGATGTGGTCATTATTGCTGCCAGCATAAAAAAACAAATGTTGTTGGCGCACCGTTGCCTAGAGAGATTTTTTTTCTGTTATTGAAAACTTGACTGAACCCACTTGCAGAAATTCAACGAATAAGTTTAATTTTAAGAGGTGTTTTAACATCTGAAAGAAAGAAAGAAAATAATAGAGAAACAAATGAAATTAAAAGAAAAAAAAACCTCAGAAGCTAGAGTTTTCAGTATTGGAATTATTAAAAGAAAATGGATCTTAACTATGGGCGAATTTTGAATTGAGAATACATTCTTCCAAATGTAAATGACACTTTGTAATTTTGGAGTCATTTTCCATAAAATACAACTCTCCTAACTCTAGCTGGAGTTTGCGACAGGCCCATTGAATATTAATTCTTCATGCTCGAAAATGACCGATATTTTGGTAAACAAATATTCAGTCCAGATAGGTAAAAATAAAGAATCTTGTGTTCTACTCTGCTATGAAAAAACTGCAGGACGCCACGCCAGGTTGTAAGAGTTTTATACAAATAAACAGCTTTGCAAAGAAGAAGAAAGAAAATGGTGTGCTTCCATGGGAAAATACACTATAAAATCTAATCATGTACAGTTTTCATTTTTTTAGGATATATATTTGGATTGCATTTTGCAAAAAGGAACCACTAGCATTGCAATGTTGCTAAGATTGTGCAACTTCTTTTGTCTTGAGGAAAAACCTGATTATCCCTTCATAGTTTCTATTTTACTCGCTAAAAACTGTAAATTTAAGACAAAAATTACCATCTCAATTTCATAGTTTTTCACAATTTCCGCAATTTTATTGCAAAGAAGTTGCACAATCTTAGCATCATTGCAATGCTAGTGGTTCCTTTTTGCAAAATGCAATCCATTTCATCCCCTACAGTATGTATCCTGAAATAACAAATTATGTATATATGAAAGTTGTCTTGTTCCTAGATTATATTTCTGGGAAAAACTTGCGAAATCCGAAATGTAGGAACCTTTTCTTGCTTAGCATAGTAACACAGTGTTCCTTTGATTTTTCTTGCATATTCATTTGAATCAGCAGAACGTGATTTTATTTTATTCTAAATGCAAGAAAGAATTGGAGTGAGCCCCACTCGTCTTTCAAAGTAAAATCAGATTAGCTTGATTTGACGTATGTTTTTCTTTTTGTTCGAGGTAACTAATAATTATAAAGTTACAAGTCAGGGAGAGATGTATTATTAAAAAAACTACAACATACCATAGGTACCCATGTGTTAATGCTGATAGCAGTTGACAAGTTCTCCACATAATGCCACCATTGAGGGGGAACAAACAGCACATCACCTGGGTCTAACTCTACAGAGAATGCCTTTTCAATCAATTTTGGATCTGCAAACGAAATTCATAAGAGAGGTTTTTTATAAATGATCTACACATGAAAGGGAGCTGCCACACATTTGTCTTGCATTCCTTCTTTAGAAATATTGTAAGATGAACTACGTCTCAATGCTGAGTTTTCACATCTAATTTTAACGGAGATATCTATCAAAAAACAAAACTGAATTACACCATACATTAAAATGTAGTAAATCATTGTTTCTTCATCTTGAACTACACAGTTTTGTAATCGTTTTGGAGCAAACTGAGTAAAGTTCAGTCAAAAATACGATATTGATTGACGATAGAACTGTGCGAAAGAAACCCCAGTCTACATCAGCGCAGTGGATGAAGTCATCTGCTGATTTTTTCAAGGGACGATATCCCAGTTAGTGCTTATTGTAGAAAATCGATGTCAGGACTTAAAAATTAATTGTTAATTAGTGATACTCAACAGACTGGTAAAACGAGATTCAGAGGAGGAAAAAACTGGCCCATTGTTCAACACTATTTTGATGGTCACTTTAAATTCTTAGGCACCATGCAAAAATTCTAATGAGCAAAGTGCATACTAACACAAAATATTTCAGCCCTACAAATGAGGAAGGCTAAAACACCCATCTTTGTATTAATACACCCCACACTCGATCAAGTTTCTAAGGTCAAACTTGTGAGAGAATTAACAAAAAATACATTTTAAGTCGTCACCTTCCGGCCAAAGTATCACAAGTGCCATTTACGCTTAGATGCTATGTTACCAAACATTTCAAGTATTTTTTAATTTTTCCTTTAAAACTCTTGCATGCAACTTCATGAAAATGTCAAAAATTAATCTTGATGAGAAAAGAGATATTAAGGTACAATTTTTAAGTGATTTTGTTCGTTAGTTATTCCGTAAACAAATTGGACAAGTTTGAGAAGTTTTGCAACATTAAACCTAGAGACAAAAGGCGCTTGTGATACTTTGGTTGGAAGGTGACAAAGTGGCCTCTAGTATTTAGGCCACTTTTATTTTACAAGCTTACACAAAGACTGAAATTCTGGGAGGCTGACCAGGGGGAGGGGGGGGACCCTGTGCTTACCATAGTTTCGACTGCACTGAAAGTTGATGTGTGTGTATATACTAGACTCTTCATATGGAATTCTGCTTGGCTTCAACTGAACTGTATCTGGGGGAAACAGCAGCCACCTTTTCCTAAAAATCCATCAAATTAAACAGTTCAATGGCAGTCAGATGATGACAAAACATAAGACTTAATGTGGAAAAATGGTTCTCAGCTTATGTATCATGTGAGTGAAAAGAACTTGTGCATAATTTTGAAAATTTAGCTGCTCAATGTTAATAAATTGAAAGTCAAGAACTATTTCTGAAAATTCTCCTTTAATTTTGCAGCTGGGATCATGAAAATTTGTTTACATGCACTTAAGACTATGCTTAATTAAAAAAGCTGCTTTCCAAAAAAAAGGGCCTAAGCTCCACTTCGTGAATGTTGAAAATAGTCTTGTAAATATAGGAAATTATAAGGGAGCAGGGACTGCATTTTACTGGATACCATTATCAAGTTTCTCTGTGTTCAAACAATCGGAGATAGCATCCTCCTTACTTGTCAAGACTTCCTTTTTATTCACATGATAGCTTTTACACAATTTTCCAGTCTTTTCATAGCACCTAGCGTATGTAATTTTGGAATGATATGTCCTACCTGACCAAATCAAATGCAAATGGATGTCATTTTTGGGTTGGGCACTAAAAGTCTGATTGGATTATTCATTTAAGATCCTGGCCTTTTTCAAAAACAGCATTTTTAAAGAGATCCGTTATATTTGCTTTCCTTCATAGTTTGATTATGCAGCTAAGATTAATTTTCCCAGAGTTCATCATAAATAATGGCAAAAATAGCTAATCAACGCAGCAAAAGATTTGAATACTCAGCAGTTGTGCAAAAAATCCTACCTGCCAAAAATTTGAGCGACAAAATTACAACCATAAGTATCAATATGGCATGGAGTGTGTGCACCCTTTGATCCAATCCAAAGAGTTGAGTCCTTTCCTGATCTTTCAGGTAAGCCTACACAGCTCCAGTTGATATCCTGCACAAGAACGAGTAGACCAAAGTTGAAAAAACGCAATTGTGTATTTCCTGCAAAAAAATACACTAAAATGCTTTTTACAGATAATTGAAATATGAAGGCCCTGATAAAACAATAAACTTCACCACTTGGATTTTACTTCCTTTAAATTGATCTACTACTTAAAGAATGAGCAAACCTTATTAATATTTAAATAATAGGAGAATGGAGGTGTTCCGACTTGTGGCACGACATGCCTTTTCTTTAAATGGAAAGAAGCAACTTACTTTATCATCTGAAAATATTTTAGGTGATCATACACTGATAAAGTTTGTCCAAACACCCATTCGTACTGTTAATAAAACCCCTGATTTCAACGATTGGGGAGGGTTCAGGGAGGGCGGCTCGTAAAACATAAGCGAGTTTGTTTCTTTGAATTAATTTGTTTGAATAGGCAGGTTGCAGTGGTCTCAGCAAACGAGCTTATATGAACTATTACGCTGTACTAAGGAAAAACGCTGTATGAACAATGGAATGTTGCCGAATTACCCCTGTTAAAAAAATTAAACAGTGTGAAAGTCATGCATAATTTACCTCAAAATTTTCAGATGTTTTAGATTAAATTGCGAACAAAATTGTCGGAAACATTGAAAGAAAGATATTCACAACTATCTCAATAATTCGTCCTTTATTGAAGACACTTTAGCAACGCTTGGAGGTTCATATAGCGTATTTCTAAAGTATATCAGTGATATGGGTTAAGCCTTTAATATCAGTAATATGGATTAAAGCCTTTAATATCAGTAATATGGATTAAAGCCTTTAATATCAGTAATATGGATTAAGCCTTTAGAGCCCTTTTTTCCGTACCCTCCTCATTCCTCAATTACAGGGGTGTAGAGAGTTCTTTGTCTTCACATACATATTTTGAAGCTGCCTTCACATTGCTGTTCATTTAAGATTACTTGACCTCGACATTTTTTGAGGCAGTTATTCATGGGCATTGCTGTCTACATTAGACCGCGCCCTTCACCACTACTTCTAATCTACCTCAAGCCATAGAAAAGTTGAAAAGCAGTGCGGTGCAAAAAATGAGACTTCGAAGGGTTTCTTTCATACTCACATCTAAAAATGAAGTATCATGATCACAATATTCGTTTAAATGTTTGTAATCAAAATAGTACCAGGAGTCAGAATCTTCAACCGCTAGATTTTTAAATTCGTCTAAAGTCATTGTGATGGTTCTGGATGAGCGTTCCCACTGGGGCTCCTGAAATATTGCATTAGATACATACTTGAATTTTAAAAGCAACCAAAAAACTGACATTTGATCATTTATTTATTTTTAAATATTAATGTCCAGCAGAGACTGTCATGATAATGTTTAGCGCGCGATGTGAGTCACATCGAGTATTGAGTTTTCATGAGCGGGTAGTTTGAATTCACGCATCAATAATCATTAAATATCTTCGTAAGGAGTTGATTTTGGTAATTTTTGTTGTGCGCATCGTTTTTTACATGAAATTTTGATTGAGAATCATGTATCAGAGTGCTGAAATTCGTACCTTGTCTAGTGGTCTATTCTCTGATGCTTGCAAGGATTTTTTACTTATTCAATTAGCCTATCAGCTAATCCCTTTCCATTGATCTGTTTTTTCCTTCTTACCTTATCCCTTTCCAAGGATCACAGCATAAATTTCTAAATAATGAAGTCTGCATCTATTGTAAGGAATAGACTTGACTGCAATATCTTCAGATGCTTTTTCAACAAAAAATGTGATTTTATTTTTAAAGTCATGCAAGCATAAAGTCTTCCTCCACTTTTATATTATTATCATTATCCTTTAATGCAAGATGTACTCTGCTACGGACAGCTTGCATGGATCATAATTTTTTTTTAAATGTTCAGAGTTAATTTCAGTGTACTTATTTTACTTGAGACACAATTTTATTTTTCAACTAAATGAAGAGCTTAAACGGACCGCATTCAACAGAAAGGAACCAGGCCACATCAGCTATTGCCAAATGTTACTGGACAAATTGATTTTTGAGGAGAGAACATTTGTGCAGGTTCCTTGGAAAATTTTAAAGAATTTGCTTCCAACTATGGAGAAAATTCCCTGAAATTTGCACTAAAATCCGCACAACCGTTTTAATGTAAAAAAATTAGATTGCCCAATTACTTTTAGCAATAGCTGATGTGACTTGGTTTCTTTCTGTTTAATGCAGTCCAAATCTCTATTGGGCAAAATTCCATTTTTATTAAATGGTTAGTTACAGAGAGTTATTGAACTCAGATTAAAATCAATTAAATTCTTGAAGTTATGATATTTTTCTGACACTTGGCAGAGAAAATCGGAAGCAAACAGAAAGATGGAAATTTCGCTCTCTCTGGTCACTAATTTTTCCTAGATTCCCCAATCCTAAACTCAGCATTCCCTGTCTGATCACCGTTTTGGAAAGACGAAACACAAAGAAGTGATAGCCAACAAATACTGCTAACCTTACTGCACTTTTTGGAGCCGACACGAAATTTTAGAGGTTGACCCCTGAAGAAATGAGTCCAGTCATCAAATGTCCAATGAAAGACCTTCCAGTTGTCAAGCGCATTGCGGAAAACAAGAGGCTCTCTTGACTTCAATACAGATTCTTCTCCGGCCATATGACAAGTATTCACATGGAAATGCTATATGAATTTTCAGAGTAAATCTACTGAAATAATCACTGACTGTAACAGAAAAAAAATTAATTGCTAAGTTAGTCTCAGCATACTAAAAAGATTGAACGAAGATTGAAGATGGGTTGAAGATTGATAGAAGATTGAAGATTGATTCAATGCCCGACAACCGGGATTAAAAAGTGAAGTATTTGTCATGTTCTATTGCAATCTTCTGTGATTCGGATATCAAATAAACCCTTCAAAATAACTTGATAGACATGAACTTCGCTGTGTTCTCCAGTGGTAATAATTTTTTTCCTCAAGACCATTTCATTTGACTGCAGCCCTGGCTTAAGCCACACCGGATTCATCACACAGGTGCATTATGCATGTGCCGAAGAGTCCATTCTGCAGTGTTTTCTCTTTCCCCCTCAACCTAGACCTCATGATTTTCTTCTAGACAGAGGTATTTGTCCTTGTTTTTCATAGTCTTTCTAAGCCGAGACTTCTTTTCTTCTTTTCCCACACAATGTGTATCAACCTAAAACCTAACGCACATGTATAAAACACCTTAAAGCGCAATAAAGAGGGCAGCGGCAATTTCAATTCAATCCACGCAGGGTCCACCCTTGGTCCTCTCTGCTGAGTAAGTTTTCACTGAACTCATCTTCATCAGTGAGTGAACTTTAGGAGAGCCCACACCACAGGCTGTACTTACAGACTCGCAAATCCCAAATCCGTCACTGAGCTGAAGTAGACGGTAAAATTGCAGGAGTTGCAAGTTGCGCACTGCAGTGCTGTTCATTTTCCTACATCGGATCTCAACAGAAAAAATGCGTTTCAGGTGAAGACAAATTGTACTTACAGCTATATTAATTGAATAATTGACGACAAAGAAATGAATTCGGACTTTGATGAAGAATGTTAGAGAGAAAAAATGCTATTACATACATGATCACTAATCACTATAATCACTATCACAACACAAACACAGAATTTTGTTATTGTGTGAGGAGTGAGGTTAGGTATATGCAGCCAGACTCCGTTCTTCTCGCACCGGTTCACATTCAAGAAAGGCTGCGGCTAGAATTCTTACGATCAGCAACCTTCCTCCTAATTTTACTTTAAAACTTTCAATCTTAGAGGAAAATGTCATAGGACCCGAAATAACGGCCGTGAAATTTCCTATCGGTTCATTACACAAAATTTTCGAAAAAATAATTTTCGTGACCAAAAANTTTCCGTTTGCCGCCATGGATTCCCGCGCTCATTTACACACTCACACAAGCGCGCAGCGCCGAACCTAGCTTCACTTTTTCCCCGTGCTTTTAGATACGAGCGCTCCGTCTTTATGTCTTTGACTGCGCCCCATCCATTCCATCACCAGAGAGTATGGAAAGCTAGAGGCACGATTGGATAGGGTAAACCTGAAATACAATTTTGCCATAAAAGCAAGAAGTTGCGTACGTCGCCGCGAGAGCGCGTTAGCATCTGCAACTCGTTAATAGATTTGCAATAGTTAGCGTCATCACTGACCAATGAGCGAGCTGTAGGTACTAGCGCGCTCTCGTGTCAACGTTCGCAACTTCTTCAACTTCTGTTTCAGTTTTCTATCATTGAGTCGGGCCTCTAACCTTCTTACTCTCTGTCCATCACGAACCCAAAGATCGGAGTCAAAGGAATGACTTAATCTCGTGCGATCTCAAAGTTCAAAGCTAGGCCCGACTGCATAGGGAAGAATTGAAACAGAAGTTGAGCCGTGAGCAAGCAGTTGCGTACGTTGGCGCGAGAGTGCGCGGCGAGCGGGAATCCCATATACCTCTGCGCTGATACAAACAATTACATGGAGAAAGGAAGTTTGAACTCACATCGGATGCTTAAAAATTGGATTTTGTCAGCGAATTTGTCACGATTATATTTCAAGAATAACTGGATAATAATTTGCAATAAGGAACCACAATCTCTGGCTCTTCCGTGAAAGCACCTTCCTGCACAGGGAAACCGATGATTTATTTGTTGTTTCAAAAATGTTTCCTCGGTGCAAAATGTGGTCCGATTATAGTTGAAATCGCTTATTATCTCGATTTTCCAGCGACTCCACACGTATGCGCCTCGTCAGTTGAACCCCTTAATTGAAATGGTGAGCTCCAAAACGCACATTTGCCTCGAATGGGCACTACATGTAGATGTACGATAATAATAACTATTAATGGAGATGATTCTTCCTCGTGGTACTGGCGGAAGAAGGATCGGGTAAGTCAGGCGAGTTTGGCTGAAAAATTTATAGTGTTTACTTCTGGACTAGGGATTGCTGGATTTCTTTATTTTCTGGGATTTATAAGTAAATGTTGTTTAGTTGTTATTTTTGGTGTTTTAATTTTAGATTCTAATTACATTAATAATCTTGTTTTCTTTATAATCAGTTTAGTTTTATTTATAAATATTCTTTTTTGTTACGAGAAATTTTGGTAGACGATTAAAATGGTATAACAATGGATTTATCAAGTTTGGTTTGGTAAAATTTGTATTTTTTGGGTCTGACCGATTTTTATGTTATTTAAATGTTAAGTTAAAATTAAAGAATTAGCGTCGGGCAGATACTATACGATTTGACACATTAATCGTGGCTAAAAATGGATGTTAATTCGTTAATTTAGAGAAGGACTTCTCACCAGATATTTACGCCAACCTTTAATTATGAAATCCACCTCGCATTCCTGGCCATGGCGCGGGGCACTAGCCGTGACCGCCACCGCCATGAGCCATGAGAGGGCCACGCGCCTCGAGAGTGAGAGCTGAGAGCGTGCGCCTCGAGAACCTGGCCGTTGGGCGTTCAGATGACGACTGGTAACGCAATAAGGGTAAGAGCCGCGCGGCACTCCTCTGATTGGTCCATCTCCCCTCGTACAAGTAGCATTAGGTCCGACGAGGTCCCGCGCGCGGCACCGTTTTTAAAAGCGTCGCGTGGCCCCTCCACTCGTTTCGTATTTACCGCGATACCGCTCCTTCATTCTTACCGTTTATTGGTTCGTTTTAGTGGGAAACGGAGAGTGGTTCGGCCAATCGTGACGCTTCTCCTAAGTCGAGCGACGGTATAAAAAGCGGACTCATGCCCTCTCTGACATCATTCTCGTGTTGATATACTTGAAACAGCGCAATCATGACTGGACGTGGTAAAGGAGGTAAAGGTCTCGGCAAAGGTGGAGCCAAGCGTCACCGAAAAGTGCTTCGCGATAACATCCAGGGTATTACCAAGCCCGCCATCCGTCGTCTGGCTCGTCGAGGTGGAGTCAAGCGTATCTCTGGACTCATCTACGAAGAAACCCGTGGTGTCCTCAAGGTTTTCCTGGAAAACGTCATCCGTGATGCCGTCACCTACACCGAGCACGCCAAGAGGAAGACTGTCACCGCCATGGACGTCGTCTACGCCTTGAAACGTCAGGGCCGCACCCTCTACGGTTTCGGAGGTTAATTTCCTTCCTGCCAGTGCCGCACATCCAACTCTTTAAAACGGCCCTTTTCAGGGCCACCAAATCCATGAGCATGTCACCATCGTCTACATCTATCACCGACCAGCGAGTATGGTAGGTGAAGAGGCCCGGCTGGGTAAGGTCGAAATTGAAACAGAAGTAGAGCTGTCTGCAAGGAGTTGAGTACGTTGGCACGAGAGGTGCCAACGTACGCGCGATAGCGCGATACGTATGGGCGATTCCAAAGGTCAAGTTTACTCATGGTTTCCTCGTCATTGCTGTTCCAGCAATCGATCAGTTCCGATACAATTATCTTTTAAATTGGGGGAAAAACCGCCAGTCGACGAGATAGAGGGGACAAAAACCGATTTGACAGTTTGCTCTCAACTTTCAAAGTCTGTACTGTGTAATAGTGGAAAACACCTTAAGACCCCACTCATAATCGGCCATTTGGAAAGCCGGTATCCCTCTAGCAAATCGGAGCTCTTCAGTCGGTTGATCAATAATCTTTTCTCCGCATTACAAACGAACTTTCTCTTCGGAATTTTCATCCATCAAACCTGAGGGAGCCCGAGTGCTTTTGCGAGAGGTGCGCTCGCCAATTTCAATATTTCAATGATTTCATGAGGACTAGCCGTCTTCAACATTTTATTTAAACTTTGGACTGGTAACGTCATTAACGGCGTAGTTATTTTATTTCCACAGAAACGCGAAGTAAATTTTGTTGCAGAATTGGAAGATTTTGACTAGGTTAGGCCAGGTGTTAGAGTTTGAAAACAATCCTCCAAAGTGTCAATTGCAGAGACAATAACTTCGCGAAAACAATTTCCAGGAAAAATCGAAACAAAAATAAAATCCTCCGAAAAGTCAATCATGATTACCCATCACTATCACCGCCCGACTCCTTTCCCGCAAAATAAAATGTCAACAGCACGCAGTGTTCCCAAGCGGTCTCCCATCTAAGTACTAACTACGCCCGACGTTGCTTAACTTCGGTGATCGGACGAGAACCGGTGCTTTCAACGTGGTATGGCCGTTGACGTTTAAGTGGGCGCTCTCATCACTATTTTTGACGATCCGATTCACCGACAACATCAATTCAGTTACTCTCGTTCAGTCTAAACTTCTGAATACTAACAACAGTCCCCTGCAGCACTTACTTATCATAAGTGGCTCGCATTCAGCAAGAAGGAACCAGCGCAAATACAGTGTTGTTCCTTCATAATTATCTAAAAAAATCTCCCAAAATAGCAAGTATATTTACATCCCACCAAAAAAGTATTAATTTCAAAGGGAAATAATTGTGTAAATGTTAATACTGTACATAATAATTATTATTTTTAAAAGAAAAAAATAAATTGTACGATTTTGAAAACACTGTGATCACGCTGGTTCCTTTTTGCTAAATGCGATCCAATTGTGGAACGTCTCGGCAGGAGCAGTTCAGAGCTTCCCGGAAAAAGGCTGCGTGGCGAAAAATCGCGTTGTGAGAAAAACGGATTTGAAGTTTTCATTATTACTTTCTGGCCTCCGACGGTACCGACTTACATCGGAGCTTCGGGCACTTGGATCAAAGTTTATACACCCTAGAATGATTAACGACCA